AACTAACCCTGTAAGTCCTTTTTCACCTTTAGACAACAGGGTAACTTTTCTACCTTACATTATAAGTCCTTCCCCACCTTTACATTAACACTACATAAGTCCTTCCTCATCTTTGTACATTGTAAGTCATTAACTCACTTTATATTAACCCTGTAAGTCCTTCCTCACCCTATTAAACCCTGTAGTCCTCCCTCACTCTATTACTAACCCTGTGTCCTTCTTTATTCCCACAACAGGGCAGTCCTTCCTCACTCCTATTATCACCAAGGCAAGTCCTTCCTCATTCACACAACATTGTAAGTCCTTCCCCACTCCTACACAATGCAGTCCTGAACTGTCTCAACCCTGTAAGTCCTTTCCCTTTACACTCCTACAACCCTGTAAGTCCTTCCTTCCCATCAACAGGTAAGTCCTTCCTCACTCCTACATTAACTGTGGTAATCTTTTCCCTCACTCCATCTAACCCTGATGTCCTTCTCCTTAACTCCTAACTAACCCTCCAAGTCCTTCTTTTTCATCTCTACACAACAGTGCAGTCCTTCCTCACTCCTACACACATGGCAGTCCTTCCCTCACTCCCACATTAACCCTGTAAGTCCTTCCTCACCCTAATAATAACATTGCAAGCCCTCCCTCATCTCTACACAACATTGCAAAGTTCTTCCCTCACTCCTACTAACCCTTGCAAGTCCTCCCTCACTCCTAATATCAACAGGGCAAGTCCTTCCTCACTCCCACAATAACAAGGCAGTCCTTCCCCACTCCTATTACTAACATTGTAAGTCCTTCCCTCACTCCTAATAACAATGTAAGTCCTTAACTCCATCTTTACATTAACCCTTGTAAGTCCTTTTTCTCATCTTACAAACCCTGTAGTCCTTCCTCACTCCCATCAGGTGTCCTTCCTCATCTTTACACAACTGTGTAACCTTTTCCTCAATCTTTACTCAACCCTGATGTCCTTCCTTAACTCCTAACTAACCCTCCAAGTCCTTTTCATCTCTAACAGTAAGTCCTTCCTCACTCCACAATAACATGGTAAGTCCTTCCTCACTCCCACACAACCCTTCTGTAAGTCCTTCCTCACTCCTACATTAACATTGCAAGTTCTTCCCCACTCCTACACAACATTGTGTTCTTCCTCACTCCTAATTAACCCTGCAGTCCTTCCTCACTTTTACATTAACATTAAAGTCTTTTCCTCACTCCTACAACATTGTGTTCTTCCCCACCTCACTAACCCTGCAAGTCCTCACTCCTACACAGGGGCAAGTCCTTCCCTCACTCCTACACATCAAGGCAAGTCCTTCCTCACTCATTGTAAGTCCTTCCCTCACTCCTACACAATGTAAGTCCTTAACCTCACTCCTACTGAACCCCTGCAAGTCCTTTCCTCACTCCTACAAACCCTGCAAGTCCTTCCCCTCACTCCCACTCAGGTAAGTCCTTCCTCACTCCTACACAACTGCAAATCTTTTCCTCACTCCTACTCAACCCTTGATGTCCTTCCTTAACTCCTAACTAACCTCTAAGTCCCATTAACAGTGTGTAAGTCCTCCCTCACTCCTATCAACATGGTGTCCTTCCCCACTCCTATTAATAACCCCTGTAAGTCCTTCCCCACTCCTACACAACATTGTGTTCTTCCCTCATTCCTACAACATTGTGTTCTTCCTCATCTCTACCTAACCCTGCAAGTCCTTTCCTCATCCTCTATCAGGCAAGTCCTTCCTCACTCCTATTACCAACATTGTGTCCTTCCTCACTCCCCACTAACCCGTAAGTCCTTCCCTCACTCCTTGGCTAATAACAGAGCAAGTCCTTCCTCACTCCCACAACTGTGCAAATCTTTCCTCTACTCCTACTCAACTTGATGTCCTCTTAACTCCTGAACTAACCCTCCAAGTCCTTTCTTTCACTCCTACACAACAGTGCTGCTTTGCAGATCTTCCTTCCCCTACTCCCACAATACTACAAGTCCTTCTCTCACTCATACACAACACTGCAAGTGCTTCTCTCACTCCTACACAATACTACAAGTCCTTCCCTCACACTTACACCACACTACAAGTCCGTCCCTCACTCATACAACACACCACAAGTCCTTCCCTCACTCCTACACAACACTACAAGTCCTTCCTCACTCCTACACAACGTACCAAGTCCTTCCTCACTCCTACACAACGTACCAAGTCCTTCCTCACTCCTACACAACGTACCAAGTCCTTCCTCACTCCTACACAACGTACCAAGTCCTTTCTCAATCCTACACAACGTACCAATTCCATCCCTCAATCCTACACAACGTACCAAGTCCTTCCCTCAATCCTACACAACGTACCAAGTCCATCCCTCAATCCTACACAACGTACCAATTCCATCCCTCAATCCTACACAACATACCAATTCCATCCCTCAATCCTACACAACATACCAATTCCATCCCTCAATCCTACACAATACTGCAAGTCCTTCCCTCACTCCCACACAATACTGCAAGTCCTTCCCTCACTCCCACACAATACTGCAAGTCCTTCCCTCACTCCCACACAATACTGCAAGTCCTTCCCTCACTCCCACACAATACTACAAGTCCTTCCCTCACTCCCACACAACCTACAGTCCTTCCCTCACTCCACACAATACTAAGTCTTCCCTCACTCCCACACAATACAAAGTCCTTCCTCACTCCCTGGCCTACAAGTCCTTCTCACTCCCACACAATACTACAAAGTCCTTCCCTCACTCCCACACAATACTACAAGTCCTTCCCTCACTCCCACAATGCAAGTCCTTCCTCACTCACACCATACCTACAAGTCCTTCCTCACTCACACAATACTACAAATCTTCCCTCGCTCACACAATACTACAAGTCCTTCCCTCACTCCCACGCATACTACAAGTCCTTCCTCACTCCACCACAATACTGCCAAGTCCTTCCCTCACTCCCACAATACCTGCAAGTCCTTCCCTCACTCCCACACAATGCTGCAAGGTCTTCCTCACTCCCACACAATACTGCAAGTCCTTCCCTCCCTCCCACACCATGCAAGTCCTTCCCTCACTCCCACACCATACTACAGAGTCACCCCTCACTCCCACACCATACAAGTCCTTCCCTCCTCCCACACCATACTACAAGTCCTTCCCTCCTCCCACACCATACTACAAGTCCCCTCACTCCACCATACTAGAGTCCTTCCTCACTCACACCATACTACAAGTCCTTCCTCCTCACCATACTACAAGTCCTTCCCTCACTCCCACACCATACTACAAGTCCTTCCCTCACTCCCACACCATACTACAAGTCCTTCCCTCACTCCCACACCATACTACAAGTCCTTCCCTCACTCCCACACCATACTACAAGTCCTTCCCTCACTCCCACACCCTACTACAAGTCCTGTACTGTACCCTGGGAGTTGTCAGGGTTAGTTCCTTAGTTTTTTTAGTTTTCTCTTTTGTTTTGGTAAAAATGGATTCCTTTACACTTACACATTCATTAATAGTTAGCTTAAGTTAGACCTTATTTTACCTGATAATTAAACACCCTTATGCTAACCAAGTTGTTAAGAGTAAATGCCATATTTTATTACAGAAGTTACAAAAAAAATAATTGGGAAATTGAACTGATCCATCACAGCTGAAAATGACCAACTGGAGCACGGAACAAGAACTGTCACCACCAAGACACCACCACCTATGGCAAGGTAAACTATAGGAGTAGCTCTCATAGCCTATAGAGGTTGTAGTGGAATTCTCCCCAACAAACGCTGTTTGTCGCTGAGTAGCTGACCCCACCAATTCCCCAGTGTATGCCTCGTGGTCTAGGTCAACCAGCGCCGCCATACATCACGGAGCGGGGGTCAACTACTAAGCCACGCCAACCCCCGCTATTTAAGACCTGACCTCGTCGTGATCGCCCTCTTTCTACCTCCTCCTCCGCCGCCAGCAACACCTCCTCCTCCTCCGCCTGCCTGGCGGCCCTCGTTCCTCCTCCGCCTGCCTGGCGGCCCTCGTTCCTCCTCCGCCTGCCTGGCGGCCCTCGTTCCTCCTCCGCCTGCCTGGCGGCCCTCGTTCCTCCTCCGCCTGCCTGGCGGTCCTCGCTCCCGCCGGCGAGCATGGCAACCCACAAGCTGTCCTTCTCTGAGCACCCTCACCAACCAGCTCTCTCTACATCACGCTTGTAACCATGCTGCCTTCCCAACACCAAGCTGCATTGTACATCCAATACAACATGTATATAGAGAGCACATTGTGAGTTTCCTTTCTCCATTCCATCCTGAGTGTGAACCAAACATCCTGAACCCCACAAGGTCATCTTTATGTCTGTCAAACTCTTAAGACAAATTGTTGTAACTGTGTTGCTATTAGCCATTTGTCTGTCTGTCTTCTTTTTTATTTATTTTTGTCTATCTAATTTTCATCTCTTTCTCTGTCCATCTGTCAGCTAATCTATCTATATCTAACTTTCTATCTGTGTCCATCTGTCAGCTAATCTATCTATATCTAACCCACATGAGAATGAAAATTGACCCATAAAATAGTGATGATGATGGGTCTTCAGTTGCTGGGATTTCATTAAACAGTAATATTTATGTGGGTAACATTTTGAACACCACAAATCATCCCCCCTCCCCATACCCTGACCCCCTCCCCCTGCTTCAGTGTATTTGAGATACATTTATTTATCACAGCAGAACCTTCCTCAACTTAAGACCAAATTCCTCCTTCTGTACTATAAACACAATATTGTACAGTATAGTTTACCATATTAGCACAACCTTATCTAACGGAGTACAGTCTAGCTCCTCTTACTTAGACAACAGCACAACAATAGCATGTTCTCTCTCTTGTGTGTCTCATTTCAAGTTAACCAGAATAAATTGTACAGGGAGATGTAGAACAGCTAATTAATTATCCTCATTAAACCAAATAGTGAATGCAAGATAACTTATCAAGACAACAATATGTACCGTAGATAACATCTTTATCAGAGGGTTTATCATCTCCTCAGCAACAAGTCTTGTCTCATGTTCTAGATTGAAGGACTAATTTGTTCACTGAAGGGAAGAAGGTATCATCAAGGACCAGCTGCTGAAGTAAGATTATTATATATATATATTTGGGGTTGATATTAAATGTGGAAACTAAATGGTGAAGATATATTCAATTTGTTTTATTTAAATTAAGATAATAATACAGAGCTTTACCCTTCACATCTCCCCCCTCCTTCCCCACAGTACTCTCCTTAGGTGTTATTCAAGCTCTTATGTTAATGCTGTCCTTAGTTTAGTGAAGCTACATGTACAGTCAACCAAAGACTCCAACCTGGGACTAAAAAATTTAATATTAAACTTTTAAAATTATTGAATAGTATAAACTTCTTTATATTTGCTAAAATGGTAAGGAATTTAAGCCCTAGAACCGATTACTGTATTGGCGGACTAATACTACAGCTGGTGGGCCGCCAAATGCAAGCGAAAACATGTTCAGGTCGGCTCGTAAGAAACTCGTTAATCGAAGTTAAGAATCTTAAGGAAGGTAACTCGTTAACCGAGGCGCTCGTTAACCGAGGGACCACTGTATTGTCTTAGTAGTGTAAATAGTAATAACATAGCAAAATAAGCGTCTTGTACCTCATAATGCCTACAAATTAGTGTTGGTTACCTCGTATTATTACGTCGTACCCACACACTACTTCACGAACATTCTCAATTCTTCGTAGCCCCTGTGTTGCCAACCTGTGATAAGGACATATATTTATTTCCTTTTTATATCATGCAGTTTGTAGAACTAGAGAATTGTTTTGGGGGTTTTGTTTTTTAAATGTTCCCGAATATACCAACGACGGGGAGGATACCGACCACACTCCAAAGCTCTGGGGTTAAGAGAATGTTTCATGATAGAAGGACGAAGATCTTTAGAACCTACATTGTGTGTGAGTGACAGAAAGTGAACATTGGTGGTTAGGATTTAGTGAGTCTGTGAGAATAACAGTGTGGTGGTGAATAAGACTGAATAAATATGAGTAAACTTGAATGATGTTAGTGAGTACCAGTTTGAGCATGAATGAGGATATAGATGCTAATAAGAAACAGAGTATGGATGGTGTAACTTGTCAGAGAGAAAGAGAGAGAGAGGTCAGTGAAGAAGTTACTAACATAAGTCTGTAGATTCAGTTGTAATTCATCGTTTCTTGTCAGTATGGAAAGGTGGAGCGGACGTGTAGCCCTGGTGACGGGGGCCAGTGCCGGTATAGGGGCGGCTATTTGCAGATTTCTCGTTGACAAGGGGATGAAGGTCGTTGGTGCTGCACGCGAGGAAGAGAGGATACAGGTACAGTGTTGCTGACTCTTGAGTTGTGTCTCATCTGTGAGTTTTTCAAGGAATATAGTCATTAACTGAGAGATATATAACTGTAGCATGATAAAGTTTTGAGGGTAAGAAATAACACTGTCATGTGTAAGAGGTTGAAGTGTATACAACATTTGATGAAAAATTGTGTTTATTCTTGATATGTAGTGATGATAATTCTTGATAATTTACCTCCACTGTTCTTGTATTTTGGAAGTATTAAAATATATTCTTTGAAAATTTCATACAAATGTATTGAGTTTACTAATTTATCCATTGAAATAGTATACTGTACATAGCAGATCATTCCTGTACAACATTTAATGTTATTTCAACAAATATTTGATTGGAAAAGGTGATTTAGGAAATACAGCTAAATGTTTGTGTATAAACTGAAATAAACCAAGACTTGATACACAGATTTAATTAAGGTTTATTATTATTGAAGATAAATCATGGTATAGTTTTACTGAAGACACACTTAAGTTTGTTCCTTAATTGGTCATTACAGCAGCCATTATTTTGTACCCATTTGTAACACCACATAACCTTAAAAATAGTTGTGTTATAATCATCGTGTAATTTTCAAGGCACTAGCAGATGAACTGGCCGACAAACCTGGATCTCTGACGGCGATCAAGTGCGACATCACCAAAGACTCGGACGTCCTCGGTCTCTTTGCTTCCATCAAGGAAAAGTTTGGAGGAGTTGATGTGTGTATCAACAATGCTGGGATGTCTCATAACCATTCTCTCCTGGGTCTGTACATGAACTAAAATTATGTTTTTCTTATTATATAAAATACTATAGGACATACTTTAACTAACAAGGTCAATCTAACCATGTGATGATGATTGTATTTATTTTATAATAGAGCGGCTAAAGAACCAATCACTGACCGGTCTCCGGAGAGGTTGAGTGACGGCCATTCCTAATTGGACCAGTTTGGGGTGCGGGATCAGACTAGAGTGCTCAGAGAAAACCTGTTATGGTTGGCTGGATAATATTTGACAAGGTCCATTTATCATCTGACTCAAATGGGGATTGAACCAAGTTTTAGAGACTAAATATGTATTACTGTATCACCAACACCCATAACAACTTAATACTGTTGTCACTACTATTATAACAGTACAGTACAGGGGCTCCTCCAAATTCACGAATTTTTATTTGACGGTCCTCTATTATTCGCGGGTGAAACCCTGGATGTACCCAAGAATGTCTGTGGATAGTTATAAAGTTGCCGGCATTTTTGCGGCCAGGACAGGGAGCTATTCATTCTAGAGACAGTAATTTCCTTTACCTGTACTGTATATATACAATACACTGTACAGGTAAAAAAAATAATTGTCTTAAGTGCAAACACATAAAGGGAATATACATTTATTTGTACACAAGTAAAAATGTAACAACACCACCCCCCTCAGTTAGCAAATGTTATTCTCGGATATGGCGATTCACGGCCATTTTGAGAATCTAACCTCTGCGAATTTGGGGGCCCCCTGTATTTTAATACTGAACAGTATCAATAAAAAATATTTTAAATTATATATGTATAGAGGCAGAGTATAGTACAGTATAGGAGCTGACTGTTATATGAACAATCAGTTTTACAATGTTATTAAATTAACACTAAATACTTGTGTATTTATTAGTTCATATTCTTGTTCACCAACAGAGGGAACACCAGAGGAGTGGCGCGAGATGTTAGACGTCAACGTTGTGGGACTTTGTTTGTGTACACGTGAAGCTGTGGCATCAATGCGTGAAAACAATGTTGATGATGGCCAAATCATCCACATTAGCAGGTAAACTAAATGTTTTGCTATAGTAAATTAAGTTTTGTGGTAAACTGAGTATGAAAGTGCTTCACAATTCTGTAGTGAACAATGGTACAGGTGGTTCAAGCTTGGGAGTGGAAATAAACCAATTACTTTATTTTATTCAGTTTTTAAGTACAGTAGTTTTTAATTGTTTTCTTTGCACAAGTACAGTACTGTACAATACTTAGATCCCAAAATGTTTTGCATTTAATTAGTTATTAAGGCAGTTATAAGAATTAAATACAGTACAATATACTGTAGTGTAGTATACAGATTACCTGTATATTGTGTTCATCATTGTAATATTGCAGTACAGGGGCCTTATTCTGAGACTTAGATGATTAATATATAAGGCCTTTTAAAGATAAAGGTGGATGGTACACATAGTACACACACAGTAATGTTAATGGCTCGAGTCATATTGAATTTTTGCATAGAAGAAGTTTTTCAGTACAGTACTGTGCAGTACAGTACAGTACAGTACAGTATTATGAAGTTAAAATTATACTGTATTCAATATACAAGTACTGGACCCCCAAAGGTTATGAAGCCTGGAACAAAACCAGGCTCTAACGTGGCCAGTTCTCACTGGGGAAGACACCAATAATCAGAATATCACATTTTTTTACCCATAAGAACTCTCTTAAACTTAGTGCGAGTGGTGAGATGCTTTCCTCCGAGACCCAGGTGTAGTAATTCTCACGTGGGTCAGATGTGAGGATGATATTGCCCAGCTTGATATTAATGACCATTGCAGGTTTCACTCAGTGCCTCTAACAACAGAACTGGACCCAAGACAAAGATTATTAAGATATGGACGCTGTAGACAGACTTAATGACTTTATACAGTTCACTCTCTAAAATCAGCTTGAATTAAACAACCAGTGGAAGACCAGCTTGTTTTGTTTATAGAATACAATTATTACTGTTAATGATGTGTTAGGAAGACAAATTTCTAAACTGGGTTTTTGAAGTTTTGTAAATTTATCTGAAATTATGTAGGGTGTGTGTGTGTGTGTGATAGTGGTTTGGTATTACATTAGTCTATTATACAGTGAAACCCCCCAACCAATGAACTATATAGAGATGAAAGTCCATTATATCGAGGGTCCGTTAAATGTGGAACCCCCAAATAACGGATTAGAGGAATAAAGAAGTCCATTATATAGAGGCTGTACTGTAAATGGGTTCCATCAATATCAAGCGGCAGGACTCTACATAAACATTGGTTGGTATCTGTGATTGTATTTCTTTAGTTATACTGTACAATATCATAAACCTCTGTCATGTTTTTAATCCTCTGAATATTTATAACTAGTAAATTTATTGTTTCTTTTTCAACTCTATCCAGCATAATGGGGCACCAAGTCATGTCATATTCTACGCTCCATTTCTACTCTGCCACGAAATTTGCCGTAAGAGCTCTCACCGAGGGACTGCGCCAAGAACTCAGAGGTCTCAAGTCACATATTCGAGTTACGGTAAGACGTATATATCTAACCAGAGCACCTTGTCTTTCTCATTTCTGACATGATGAACAGAATAGTTTGTCTCCCTAGTAAAAATACTTCAACCTGTAGCCATGACCAGGAGAGTACAGGTCAAATATTGTATCTCTGATGGAGGAACTTAGAGCCATGTTCACCCTGAGGACCATCTGCGTTTCTTGGAGACACATCTACGTGTTTGTTTTCTCTCTCTCTCTTTCTTTTTCTTTCTTTCTAGTATTATTTTGTGTCTGAATTAAATATTTCTTCTTGATTTCTCTAATTTTTCAATGTGTTTTGCCTCTGTCTCCATTAAAAAAGTTTCAGGGTGAGAATAGTGATGTTGTATGGCAGTGAAACATGAACAGTTAAAGGGACTTCAAATTAAGTGAGACTGACTTCGTACTGTATAATGTGACACAGATAGATAAAGAAGCCCTAGTCAGAGTTAATAAGGTTGCTTGGCATTTAGAGTATTGGTAAGGTTTCCAATAGAGACACCCAGCTAGATAAAGATTGAACACCTGGAAGAGATTAACTGGGTCAACAGATACATGTGTTTGAAAATAGAAGAAATGACCTTGGATATAATACTGTAATATGATTAGTGGCTGTAAGAGATGGTGCAGTATGGAGAGCTGCACTAGGTTATCACAGCTGTCCCAGACAAGTGTTAGGTGATGTTCTTAACCATCTTTTTGTGTATGTATCTTCAAAAAATTGTCTAATGTAAAACCAGCTTTACATTTACTTATAATTACAGTACAGCATATGTTTTCTTCCTCCTTAAATATTGTGTAAACTCCGTATTTTATTTAAAAACTTGTAAAAGCTCAAGGTGTGGGATATAAGAATGTAAGGGAAATTAATCTTTACAAAAACTAATTCCAAACCTATTTCTTCAGGCCATCAGCCCTGGTGTGGTAAAGACTGAATTTCTCTCAAGAATGATGAAGGATAAGGAGAAGGCACAGGGGGTTTTTACCAACAAAAAGTGTCTACAAGCTGAGGACATTGTATCTACTGTGGTTCATGTGCTTTCTACCCCACCACATGTTGAGGTGAGTGGATGGATTTGCACACTTACAGTTCATCATGTTTTTCTATAGTTTTTAAAGTATTCCTCTGTGATCTGCCGACTTTCACCATCACCACACATTGGTAGTTTTACTTAATTGCCAAATCGACCATATTGCCACTTCCATTCTTGAGTAACTGGGTCTCTCTTGGTATACACAGAGTGGGTACTGTTAGTTGGTTCCCCTATCCTTTTGTGAATAAATCAAGTGATGCTTTGTCCACTCTGGTTGTAGTATACGCCTCAATCGTTTCATCAGCTTTGGAATACGAGTGAAGGCATGTCATGATGTAAGTGATAACGGCTTGATAATGACACATTTTTTGTAAGTTACTGTGTTCACTTTTCTTTCACAGATTGGTGATATCATCGTCCTGCCAACAGAATAAATCTTCTAACATGACCCGAAGCATAAACCACAGTGCTCTGAGAATGAAAGCTGGCACTGGACCCAGGGCAAGATTCAGGATCTGGCCTTAAATTCTCCCGAACTAGAGGTTATTACTTTTTTAAACAGCTGAAGTGCCTTAGGTTGAGAAAAGTGTGTTGATAACATATCTGAGGGGTAACACAGTTGAAATATACCATTATGAAATATATAGAATCAATAATGTAGACTCGGGTTCATGGAAATATACAATTAATAAGAGTATAAGGAAAATATTTTTTGTGGGGTAATATGATTTTCTGTTAATTCCACATGATTGTTCTGACTACTGTACTGTAAAGATGAGTGTACCATATTTGTGCCATATTATTATTTGTTTATGATCCAAGAAAATATTATTTGAACATTCGTAGTAATATTAATTTATACCTGAAAAATATAATTAATATAATAAAATTTGACACATTTTTGTTTTTTGTTTTTGTAAACAATACAATATTACAAAATCAAACTAGCAAACACCTCTAACAAAGATATTATAAACATATGTATATATATACTGTATAAGTAATAAAATGAAAAATTATAATGAATAAAGTTGGTTAAAAAAAATTTATATTTTAGTTATTTTAAACCCCAAAGCATAAAGACGTTACAACAAAGATTGGAAGAAATAGGCAACATAAAATTGAAGACATAACAATTATTAAAATACTGTATGTCGTAATACTAAAATAGTAAATTGATGATTATTTTATTAAGACAATAATAGTCAACCAACCTTTATTAATGTGAAAGGTGAGCTGCTGCTGCTTCTGTGTCAGCTTATACAGTCATGGTTCAGAGCCACGACCAATGGAGAATGAATATCCATACTATTCCTGTACTCTGTCTTAATGACACTCATGGTTGAGAAGCCAGTCTCACAGAGGTATGTTGAAGGGAATGGGAGAAGAGTTTTCAGAGCAATTCAGTAAGACCAGGATATTCTGCTTTCAATTTTATCCAAAAGGAACCAAGTGATGTTTAGAAACTCATCTTCAATCAATCGTCAGCAGCCGGCTCCAACAATTTATCCTCCAGTGACACTTACGCCCTCCACCCACCCCTGGAGCCCTCCAGTGGAGGGCTCCAGGGGTGGGTGGAGGGCTCCAGGGGTGGGTGGAGATAGACCAAAGGTAAAAAAGTATAAAATATGTATAGATAGACAGATTCATTATGAATATTTTATATACAGTATATCTGTTGTAATTACTTCAAGGTATAAATTAATATAGCATCTATACTTTTAAGTGATACACCGTGTGGCAGAGAAGTCCACACAGTGTTGGTCTGAGGTGAGATGGAACACACACACACGAGGAAATTAAAATAAATGTTTTTTTTCTTTATTTATTGACAATTTAGATATATTTCCTTTTACCTTAATTTATTCTTGATTGAAATCCTGACCACATTTTAGGCAATATAATCCAGCAGGTTTTGGTTATCTATTTCTGACCATAATTACCTTAAATACAAAAATTTGATCACATTAAACTACTAATTAAACGATTTATTTTTAGGGAAATCTATCAATCATCCTCATGAGTGTGGTGAACTTACGTTATAATTACTGTAGGTTATAATATTTGATGGGAAAACACATTAAAGCCTGAAGAAATAACTCAATGGATTATCTCAATTTATTGTGGTCGTTGGGGGTTGGGTGGTGGGGGAGGATCGACGCTACTAACGTTTTTTCGATTTTTTACCGCTGAATTTTTTACCTTGGGTGATTTTTCTACCTTTTAAGTTTTCTCTCCTGATTCCACTCCTCATGGCGGCGGTGTTCTTCTTCGTCTTCCTCATTCCTTCGTTGTCATTCTTCGTTTTCTTCTTGATTCCTTCCTTTGTGTTTTTGTCCGCACTCTTGAATTTCTTCCTGATGGGACCACTGCCAGCGACAATCTTCCTCTTCTTTCTGACCCATGGTTTACTCATGAACAGGTCTGGAACATAAACAAGAGTATATAACACGAGCGGCCGCATAAGATGCACACGGCCAGATGAGACGCAAATGGCCATATATGCTACACATGGCCATATAAGATACACATGGCCATATAAGACGCACGGCCATTAAGACGCGCGGCTATATAAGACGCACGGCCATTAAGACGCACGGCCATATAAGACACACGGCCATTAAGACGCACGGCCATATAAGACACACGGCCATTAAGACGCACGGCCATATAAGACACACGGCCATTTTAGCAGGGAGTATTTAGGAAAAATTCTTGTGTATATATTCCTCCTGTCGCCATAGTTTTATTAATATATACAGTACCAGTTAATGTTTGGAATAAATATAAATACAGTAATAAACAATAAATAAGTTACAACAGAAAGTAGTGTATTACCAAACCAGATAATAAATACCAAGTGAAAGATTAAGAGAGTGCCAGTCATGTGGTCCCTGGTTCACTATAGCAATGTAAACACCACCTCCCACTGAGCCAGCTAACTAACTCGTCTACAAACAAATGTATATTCATTTTATGTATTTGGCCTTTAGGACAATTATTTCTTTTATTTTTCTCACAATATGTATGTAAGATGGTGTGTGTATGTATATAAGTAAAAATAAATGAAGAAAGTTACATATATCTGCCCAAAACTACGAGTTGAAAAACAACCATAACACCTCACAGCTTGGCCCAGCAGCCTGGTGGTTACATGAGTCTATCTTGGCTACAATGCTGCCAGTGATGTTAACAGATGTAAATGGTAAAAGAAAGTTACCTGTAAATCATCATTTGTTTCAGGTATTTGTAGATTTATAAATAAATGTTGCAGGTATGACATTAATATATTGTAATGTTTGTAAGAGTTCAGAAATGGTTACTGCTTAGTTACCCCTGAAGAGTTGGGTGTCTGCCGTACGGATGTTAATCGTCTCAGGTCATCATCATCAGTACAGTAGTTATAAATCCAGTTTTTATAATAAAAATAGTTGTGTGAGGTAGAATTTAGCTTACTGGAGGAATCATTAGCTTACAGGAGACCACAACTTCACAAATATGAAGCAGGCTGATTTTTTTTAGCCAATTTTCGGACAAAAAAGTGCATCTTATATGCCGTAAAACACGCGATATACTCAAGGTTATAAGACCACGTGCCGGGGGTTATTGGACTAATCCCAACTCTCCCGATCCGCCTTTCAAGCAATCCGCACCTGGTGTGCCACCTCCCGTGACATATGAAAGTCCCTCTCTGACACATCCCTTTAAAAGTCCCTCTCTGACACATCCCTTTAAAAGTCCCTCTCTGACACATCCCTTTAAAGGTCCCTCTCTGACACATCCCTTTAAAAGTCCCTCTCTGACACATCCCTTTAAAGGTCCCTCTCTGACACATCCCTTTAAAAGTCCCTCTCTGACACATCCCTTTAATAATTTCTTCAAGTTCTTTTCTTATTTTTCAAGTCTTAAAATATTACCTTAGTACATTATTCTTGTTATTTTGTTATTTTTCAAGTTTTAAAAATATTACTTTACTATTTTTCTAACACATAATCAGATAACTTCACTCACTGTGCTGGGTCAATCACAGTTCCCTAAGGTGCTGTGGTTCCTATGTTAAGTCTTTAGAAATAAATAAGTACAAATGTTAGTTGCTCTATCAGTCAAGTCAGTCGATAATACCACATTAATTAAGAGTTCTTCACTTAAACTAATCTAACCTAATTTAAGCTAAACCTAACCTAACCAAACCTAAACATCACACAAGATACTCACCGGGGTCAGGTTCCTCTCCGACCTCATCTCTGTAATACTGAGCATCATCATCTTCAATGTCTTCCCAATCAGCATCATCAACATCCTCCTCCTCTTCCTTCCTCTTCTTCTTTGTCTTCTCTTCCTCTTTCTTCGTCCCAACACCCATACCCTCCAGACATTTCTTCTTGTGTTCGTCCTTCTTCCTAGTCTTGGCGTCCACGTTCTCCTGCTGTTGTTTTTTCCGCTTCATCTTGAGTTGTCTGGGAGCGAATGAAGAAAATTTTAGTATAAGTATTAAAGTTAGTGTTGCTTAAATGTGTTCCTCTGATGTATAACTGAGATGACACATATGGTACAAAAGAGATGACAAACACATATGGTACAATATATTACAACACATATGGTACAAAAGAGATGACAAACACATATGGTACAATATATTACAACACATATGGTACAAAAGAGATGACAAACACATATGGTACAATATATTACAACACATATGGTACAAAAGAGATGACAAACACATATGGTACAATATATTACAACACATATGGTACAATGATATTACAACAACACATAAGGTACAATATATTACAACACATATGGTACAAAAGAGATGACAAACACATATGGTACAATATATTACAACACATAAGGTACAATATATTACAACACATATGGTACAAAAGAGATGACAAACACATATGGTACAATATATTACAACACATATGGTACAAAAGAGATGACAAACACATATGGTACAATATATTACAACACATATGGTACAAAAGAGATGACAAACACATATGGTACAATATATTACAACACATATGGTACAATATATTACAACACATATGGTACAAAAGAGATGACAAACACATATGGTACAAAACAGATGACAAACACTTACTTCTTATGCTTCCGTTTCTTCTCTAACTGCAATTTCTCCTCGTCTGTCTTGGTGACAATTCTGTTGTAGAGAGTCTTACCATCCAGTAGTCCTTCCTCAATTTTCATGAGCTGGGAGGAGGAGGAAGGAAGGAGAGGGGGGTAAATAATTAATCGAGAGATGTGTATTTTGATGTTGGTACCAGTCTGTAATGCTAGTACCAGTCTGTAATGCTAGTACCAGTCTAATTACAATCCCCACAGGTAGATTTGGACACACACAATAACCTGACCTGACCTGACCTCCACAAAGAGAGAAAATAATAGAAAACGAGGATAATAAAGAGAGAAGGAGGAAGAAGAATGGGAGTGATAGGGAAGAACTAAGGAAGAGGAGGAAGGGGAAGGGGAGTGATAGGGAAGGTTTTGAATATGGGAGGTGAGATAGAGCTAACCTAACCAGATTGAGGTTGAGACTGAATGAACTATGTAACGATGTGATGGCCTTGTTTCCAGTCACCCCTGAACTATGTAACGAGGAGGATTTAGAAAAAGGTAATACAAAAACAAACCCAAATTATTACAATAGTCATAATTACCTCGAGGGATAACCTGGGGCCGAGTTCCGATAATCTGACCGAGGATTTCTGCAGGCCAAGTTTTCTTCGAGCCACCTTCACATCTGCCATGACGTGGGCTGATGGGTCATCCTCTGCTTCACTCTCGGACAATATTGCTGCCCTGGCGAGTGATTTTAGCATCGGTGTTATTAGTTAAATCGTATTAATGTTATACAGGTGTAGTTTATAATTAAAATCCAATAGTAGTGTAATTTAAGTTTCAGGGCGTCTAATAATGTTATCTAGGCTTCGGTGTCTAATAATGTAATCTTAAGCTTTCAACTTCCAATAATGTAATTTAAGCTTTTGACTTCCAAGAATTCAAGCTTACTTTATATTTCCAGAATCTATTTAGTCACTCCCTGAACTGACTCCACCAAAATACTAACTACTATACTACCCAAGGTTTATCTCACACACACACACACACACACACACACTAAACTCACTTTGTCATGAACTCAGACACATCATTATAGCTACTCAGGTCCGGCAGTTTACGTTTGTTGAACTTTTTCACCGCCTTAGAGATCCCGACAGGCACTACATTGATAGAGTAGTGCCGGAAGTCAAACAAGCCGTCGTTAGGGTCGTAGTTGATCAGACAGCAGCGTTGAATCGTGTCCGTTTTTATCTTGAGAGAGAGAGGGGGGATTTATGACAGTTTAATGTTAAATAACCTGTTGTTGTAATGTAAGACTGATTGTCTATGTTATTTCCTCATAAGGTGTATTTTAATATAGATGGTAAGGTATTGAGGTGTTAAAAAGTTCCCCAAAATTTAAATAAAGACAAAAATAATAATAAGAAAAAGATAAATTAAAATGTAAAAAAAATCCCCAAATTCGAAGTAGGAATCAAAATATGTTCTGCGGTTTTTGCTTATTTCACCTTATTTTTCACCACACTAAAGGGATTTGGTTTGGTTTGGTTAGGTTAGTCAATAATATACCTGGTTTGGTGTGATGGTTGGGAACATATCTAAGAACATTCTGGCTGACAGCTGTAGGTGCAGGTCTCCACCCTCAGGCTGCAGGTTGGTCATCAAACAAGGACCTGTTATGTACAGACCGCTGTGTACCCGATGTTTCTTCAACGACGACAGAACATCTTTACTCCGCGCGAAAACTTTGATTCTGTGAAAAAAGAAAATAAATTAACAAGTTTCCCACATATTTCATAAAAGGAAAAATTAATGCTGACAAGCTGGCGACAATTTCCTCATAATTTTAATGTATTTTCTGATGGTTATGGCAATACTGCGACTTGTGTGTCTGAGTTATGTTGTTGAAGTGATGCCACTAGTGGGGTAAAATGACACAGTATAGAGTTATCAAAGAAAAATAAACACTTCATAAATAAATATAATAATAATCGTAATAATAATGATGATAATAATAATAATAATAACCAATTACCTCATTCTGACTTCTCTTTACCCCCTTACAAACATAACATCCCGACAAAACAGATCCGCGGAACACACCTGAAGGTAAGGGTCGGGCCGTGAGGTATCCGACACACCTTTAAGTACAGACCAACGCTCGTCTGGGAGAACGCCACAAGATGGGTTATGTTCAACTGTCCAGCTACAGCCACGAAGTCCTTGATGTTATTGTTCTTGGTGTGCTGAGGAAAAAAACAGACATTTATCGCACGGTGTAGTGATGGTCTCTGTCAGCCGGGACAATTGGCGCACAGCACTTCCGGGAACGAGAGATTTCCGGGTAATGGAAAAAAATGTTCTCGGAAGTTCCAGAAATTGCCCATTGCGTCATCTCTCCAACCCGGAAAAATGTCCCCGATCCCGGTATTTTCCGGGTACTGGGAAAATTTTATCTTTTTCGGAAAATGTGCCCCTCGGAAAATCGTTCCCAAAGCCGGAATTTTCCAGAAAATTCCGGCTTTGGGAACGATTTTCCGAGAATATTTCAATTCCGACCATAGGAGAGTTCCAGGTTTGAGGGATTGCAGCTAACAGAGATATTACTGTACAGGTATTTTAGTTTTGGTCATCCAGGGAATTGGTTAGGTTAGGTTAGGTATATAGATACAACAATGACTATACTTAAATCTTACCATAATAACTAATGACAAACAAAATCTTCTAAAACATTTGAACAATTTTAACAGCATCATTTTTTAACTTAATTCAGATTACGTGAAGATTAGGTATCCAAACTGCCTAACCTAACCTACCCTAACCTAACCTACTCCTCCTGGGTAACATAAAGGAGTTAAATCATCACGTAAAATAAGGTGGGACTTCAAAGGGTCACTTAACTACTCTTTATAATAATTACATCTGAATCTTTCATTTCAAATTTGTAAGAAAGAGAACTGGACAATAAGTAAACCTTGTTCTATTAATCACGACGACTTAAAACAGACTTAAACATACTTAAACAGACTTAAAACAGACTTAAAACAGACTTAAACAGACTGTATATTTTGATTATTTTTTCTTAAAGCAATAACAACAATGTAAAACACCAAAGGTAATTGATAAAAACAGTACAATTTAATTATATCGTTTGTCTAAGTGACTTTATCTAAGCGATTCAAATTTTTTAAAACAATAATAATTTTCATTTTCAAAAGTAGTGATTATTAATGTACAAGGAATAATTTGATGATGTGAGCAATATCTTGAAAGTCGTGTTTTATATAATTTTACCCATATTCCTACTGATGCTATTTTACCGTGAGTGCTCTCTGATTGGCTAAACGTCCATTACCGGCGAACGTGAGAATTATATTTCACAGTGACTCTGACGGCATTTTGCATTTATTTCGCCGTGAGTCGATCGTTGTGTAGCTGTAAACCTAACCTAACCATATTTCTGTTGTGCAGGGAAACTTATCATTATAAAAGAAGCGACATTTACTAGAACCTAATAGAACGTAACCTAACCAACCCAAAAAACCTACCTAACTGTACCTAATAATAATAATGGTTGCCCCTCAAAATGGAGAATGGCCGGCCCAAGGGCCACCTAGGTGTGAATTTGTTTAAGGTGTAGAAGCTGTCACCAACACAACAACCACACCCTAAGTTAACGAGCTGCATGACCCAGTGTTTAAGGTGTAGAAGCTGTCACCAACACAACAACCGCACCCTAAGTTAACGAGCTGCATGACCCAGTGTTTAAGGTGTAGAAGCTGTCGCCAACACAACAACCACACCCTAAGTTAATGAGCTGCATGACCCAGTGTTTAAGGTGTAGAAGCTGTCGCCAACACAACAACCACACCCTTAGTTAACGAGCTGCATGACCCAGTGTTTAAGGTGTAGAAGCTGTCACCAACACAACAACCACACCCTAAGTTAATGAGCTGCATGACCCAGTGTTTAAGGTGTAGAAGCTGTCACCAACACAACAACCACACCCTAAGTTAATGAGCTGCATGACCCAGTGTTTAAGGTGTAGAAGCTGTCACCAACACAACAACCACACCCTAAGTTAACGAGCTGCATGACCCAGTGTTTAAGGTAGAAGCTGTCGCCACAACAACTACACCCCAAGTTAAGAGCTGCATGTCCTGTATGGTGAGCCGCTAACACAACAACCACACCTAAGTTAATGAGCTGCATGACCCAGTGTTTAAGGTGTAGAAGCTGTCGCCAACACAACAACCACACCCTAAGTTAACGAGCTGCATGACCCAGTGTTTAAGGTGTAGAAGCTGTCGCCAACACAACAACCACACCCTAAGTTAATGAGCTGCATGACCCAGTGTTTAAGGTGCAGAAGGTCGCCAACACAACAAACAACCCTGAGTTAATGAGCTGCATGACCCAGTGTTTAAGGTGTAGAAGCTGTCACCAACACAACAACCACACCCTAAGTTAACGAGCTGCATGACCCAGTGTTTAAGGTGTAGAAGCTGTCACCAACACAACAACCACACCCTAAGTTAATGAGCTGCATGACCCAGTGTTTAAGGTGTAGAAGCTGTCACCAACACAACAACCACACCCTAAGTTACGAGCTGCATGACCCAGTGTTTAAGGTGTAGAAGCTGTCACCAACACAACAACCGCACCCTAAGTTAACGAGCTGCATGACCCAGTGTTTAAGGTGTAGAAGCTGTCACCAACACAACAACCACACCCTAAGTTAACGAGCTGCATGACCCAGTGTTTAAGGTGTAGAAGCTGTCGCCAACACAACAACCGCACCCTAAGTTAACGAGCTGTATGACCCAGTGTCAAGGAATAGTCCAAGAAGACCGGACAACTCACCGACTGCACTGGCTAACCATTACCCCGGAACACGATCCACAAATCAATTAACATCCAGGTCCCCAATTACTGCTGCTGGGTAGACAGAGATAAATGGCGTAAGGAAACTTGCCCATAGCTTCACCCTGCCCGGGGATCGAACCCGGGTCCACTCACTTGCAAGGCGAGGATGCTGACCATTACACCACCTAACTTCCTAGCTGGGGGGGGGCAGTCACCTTGTCACATCAACAGAAAGAACTTAGCCAATCGCAGCACACTCACGGTAAAATAGCGTTAATAAGAACTAAGCCAGTGACAGCAACATAACGACTGGTGTCACTCCTCACCCTGAGCTTGGTGGCAGTGTTAGGCTCCATCACCTGCCTCAAGTCTTCTGTCAGCTTCTTGATCTCCCTCCCAACATTACCTCGACTAATAACAATACACTGGGGTACTCTCTCCTCTGTTGCTTGCTTGGCCCGGCTCTGGTCTCTGTTGCGCCGAGACAAACGACCCTGTTCAAGGCAACGTGGTATTTAGAATTGGTTATTTTTACATACGAGTTATTAGAGTATATATACACGTTAAATATTTCAATCTATAATAATAATAATAGTAATAATAATAGTAATAACTGAGGGATGATACATTACAATCTCTAAACATTAGGCCCTGACACGTGACAAAAGTTTGCTATACATATTTTCTCTTAATCTAACCATTTCTTATAGGTGCTGGACAACTCACACCCAAGGTCATATAGTGGGGCCCAGACAGGTCATATAGTGGGGCCCAGATAGGTCATATAGTGGGGCCCAGACAGGTCATACAGTGGGGCCCAGACAGGTCATATAGTTGGGGGCCCAGACAGGTCATATAGTGGGGCCCAGACAGGTCATATAGTGGGGCCCAGAGGTCCACAGTGGGGCCCAGACAGGTCATATAGTGGGGGCCCAGACAGGTCATATAGTGGGGCCCAGACAGGTCATATAGGGGGCCCAGACAGGTCATATAGTGGGGCCCAGACAGGTCACATAGTGGGGGCCCAGACAGGTCACATAGTGGGGCCCAGACAGGTATAGTGGGGCCCAGACATATAGTGGGGCCCAGACAGGTCATCATAGTGGGGCCCAGACAGGTCATATAGTGGGGCCCAGACATAGTGGTGGGGCCCAGACAGGTGGGGGCCCAGACAGGTCATATGGTAGGGGGCCCAGACAGGTCATATAGTGGGGCCCAGACAGGTCATATAGTGGGGCCCAGACAGGTCATATAGTGGGGCCCAGACAGGTCACATATAGTGGGGCCCAGACAGGTCATATAGTGGGGCCCAGACAGGTAGTGGGGCCCAGACAGGTCATATAGTGGGGCCCAGACAGGTCATACAGTGGGGCCCAGACAGGTCACATAGTGGGGCCCAGACAGGTCATATAGTGGGGCCCAGACAGGTCATAGTGGGGGCCCAGACAGGTCACATAGTGGGGCCCAGACAGGTCATATAGTGGGGGCCCAGACAGGTCTCATATAGTGGGGGCCCAGACAGGTCACAGTGGGGCCCAGACAGGTCATATAGTGGGGCCCAGACAGGTCATATAGTGGGGCCCAGACAGGTCATATAGTGGGGCCCAGACAGGTCATATAGTGGGGGCCCAGACAGGTCATATAGTGGGGCCCAGACAGGTCATATAGTGGGGGGCCCAGACAGGTCATATGGGGGGCCCAGACAGGTCATATAGTGGGGCCCAGACAGGCCCAGACAGGTCATATAGTGGGGGCCCAGACAGGTCATATAGTGGGGGCCCAGACAGGTCATATAGTGGGGCCCAGACAGGTCATATAGTGGGGCCCAGACAGGTCATATAGTGGGGCCCAGACAGGTCATATAGTGGGGGCCCAGACAGGTCATATAGTGGGGGCCCAGACAGGTCATATAGTGGGGGCCCAGACAGGTCATATCGAAGGGCCCCAAAAATAACCCTAACTCACCATTTTACGTCGAGGCATTGTTGTATATTATGTTTCTCGTCGTGTAGTGTAATAAATCGTCCTTTTTCTCCCATAAATAAGAATTAATAAGCCATTAATAATCTTGGTCCCTCAGAGCCATGTGTTGATGGTTATATATCCCGCTCATGTTATCGTCTACCATCTCTTTTATATCTTACTTTTTTTCCTCTATTTTAAGTTATATATCTAAATTAGTTATTGAATATGTGTTAGGTAATTAATTTATGTTTTTTTTATTTTGTTTTTTTGTTTTGTTTTTTGTTATTTTGGGGAATTGTTATATTTTATGGTATGGGTAGTTAGTGATATATCTAGTTAAATCCAGTTTATGTATTTGAGAATTTTGTTATATTTTTATTTTATATCAAAACATTTTTAGTCTATAATCATTTATTTAATTATATGTATAGAAAATAATAGTTTATGTACGTAATTATATACTTAGAAATTATTATAGATTGTATAATATATCTGTGTTGTGAACCTGAATTATTGAGTCAGTATACATGACCCTCTATGGCAGGAAGTTAATGGTGAAGAATTTATCTGTTTTATCGTTATTTCTGGACCATGTCTCTCGCTGATGAACTACTGAATGACTTTGAGGACGGTGATGAAGATGAGTTACTCTCTAATGACCTCCAGAACAGAGAGGGTGATAATGGTGAGGTTATGGAGGTGGAGTTTAAGGTCCCTATGGCCCTCAAGCCCGCCTTAACCTCAGTCCGTCAGGTGGCTGGTCTATGGGACTCTGATAAACTCAAGGACATTAAACAACATATTGAGAAGTATGCGTCCAAGCAGAGGGAATCGGATGACCTGCAGGGTTCAGTGGAGACCGATCCGGAGTATAAATTGATCGTCGAGGCGAATAATATTAATGTGGATATCGACGACGAGATCGGGACGATTCATAAGTTCGTTAAGGAGAAGTACGCCAAGAGGTTCCCCGAGCTGGAGTCGTTGGTGGTTAACCCGTTGGAGTATCTCAATGCCGTCAGGGAGTTGGGGAACGACGTGGATAAGGTGAAGAACAGCGAGGCCCTGGCGTTGATCCTGACGCAGGCGACCATTATGGTGGTTAGCGTCACGGCGTCCACCACGCAGGGGACGCTCCTCACCCGGGACGAACTGGACGCCATCGAGGAAGCTTGTAAGATGGCTCAGGACCTAAATACCTTCAAGATAAGAATCCTGGATTACGTCGAGAGCAGGATGAGTTTTATAGCACCGAACCTCTCCTGTATAGTGGGAGCGTCCACGGCGGCCAAGCTGATGGGCGTGGCCGGGGGACTCACAAATCTGGCCAAACTGCCGGCCAGTAACGTTTTGCTGATCGGGAAACAGAAGAAAACTATGATCGGGATGGCTCAGACCTCCATGTTGCCTCACACCGGCTACATTTACTACTGCGACATAGTCCAAGAGACTCCGTCCGATCTCCGTGCCAAAGCCGCTCGTATAGTAGCGGCCAAGGCTACCCTGGCGGCGAGGGTCGACAGTATGCACGGGAGCCCCAGCGGCACCCAGGGGCTACGTCTGAGGGAGGAAGTGGAGAAGAAACTGGACAAGTTACAGGAGCCGCCGCCGGTCAAGTCGATCAAGCCTCTGCCGCAGCCCATTGACGCCCCGGGTAAGAAGCGTGGCGGCCGCCGGGTGTTGAAGATGAAGGAACGGATGGCGGTAACAGACCTGCGTAAAGCTCAGAACAGGTGGGTGATGGATGGTGTCCTTATATACGGTCCAGACGGTACGAGTGGATGACCGCGGATTATCTGTCGGCTATTGTGTATTTCCGATGGTTAAGACGATGTTAAGACAATTTTCTTCTATGACGTTTCCCTCGCAAATGACTTCAAAAATTACTTAACCTAACCAATGTGATCGTGGTTCAGGCTTCTGTTACCACCTCGTTTGTGTCAGGTGAACGAAGTAACTACTGTTTAAGATGACACAATAACTCTTATTCTTGGGGGGGGGGGGGACCGACTGTATTTCCAATTATCTAACGAGGCAATTCTATTTCACGTTTTTAATTAATTTATTTTATGTCTTTACAGAATGAACTTTGGTGAGATAGAGGAAGATGCTTATCAAGATGACCTGGGCTACACAAGAGGTCAACTGGGGAAGGGCGGTGCTGGTCGTATACGCAAGATAACGGTCGACGAGAAGACCAGAGTACGTCTGTCTAAAACACTACAGAAGGAGGTTCAACGGCAGTCGTCACTGGGCGGACAGACGACAGTACGCAGACAGGTCGCTGGTACGGCTTCCAGTGTGGCGTTTACACCACTCCAAGGGCTTGAGATCGTTAACCCCCAGGCAGCAGAAAACAACAGCCAATCAAAAGCTAACAAATATTTCTCTAATGTTTTGGGTTTCAAGAACGTGACCAAATAATACGGAATTGTTTATTGTTTCCTGAATTAGAGGAATTTTTTCTTATACAGCTGTAATGTGATTGAGTGTAATGAGAGGTACAGTACATCATTACAGGATTAACCAAGTAATTCTCACCTGTTGAGTTGTTTTCTCCTGGTGACTGATCGATGAACCGGTAAAATTGCAGATTACAGCAACCAAAGAATCTGGTAATAAAAAAATGTTTTACCTAACCAAAGAATCTGATAAAAAAATGTTACCTAACCTAATCCAACCAAATGTAATACAAGAAAATGGTCATAGAAAAAGAGTAGGTCTATCAATTGAGTGTAGTGATCTAACGGTATTCTGCGGTTGCCGTTTACTGCAATATTACCGATGAAACTGCTTTACCATATTACAAAATCCTTCCCAGAACAATAAACGTTTGATTTCACCAGAATAATAAACCTTTGAATTCAATCTGTAAACCCATTGTATTTATTATTTCTAAGACAAATCAGCCAGTCTCAGTTGAGGTCATGTTAGTCAGTTCAGTGTCCTCCATGGCAAGTGTTGTCAGAGATCAGATGAGTTTTATTGTCTAAATCAGTTCACTAAGGAGATGTCCCAATCAGTTCACTATGAAGGTGTCCCATGGCAGGTCGTCCCACACAATGATAATCAAGGGGGTGTAGCTGGCCGAATTTCAACAGGTTAAAGAACTTATGCCCCCAAGATGTTTGGTCATTTCTCTGGCTAAAGACCAATTATGTAGGTGCATTAATGTAGGATTATTATATATGAAGGTGTGAGGACATTTAGATAACGACAAATAATCCTGAACGATGAATTCACGGGTAAATGTCCTAAAAAAAAATCTTGAAAATCGTGTTCTCAGTTTTGTCTCTCAGCCTTGTTTGTTTTCTTGTGTTTTCAGTGATTGAATTTTTCAGAGCTACGCATTTTTTGGACTATGATGATCATGTAATTATGTCATTAGCTAAACAATTATTGTAAATTTATATATATTATATTTTGAAAGTATATAAATGTCTTTTACTTGAAACAAATATATCTGTGTGGTGTGTGTGTGTGTGTTATCTAGATTAAGAACGTGTATAAATCAGATCAAGAATCATCACAAGAAACAAATGTAGTCACTTGTATTGCTGCTTGGGGTAAGTCTTGAACCTATTCTCAAGAACATGTTTCCAACCTTCAAGTTTATGTTGAGAATATTTCATTGAAGATACACATTTGGTTAGGTTAGGAGAGTATATTTTACAAGGAGCAAAGACGACATACTGGTCTTTTCTGTGTGTTAACAAGGTTCCCTCTTAATACCAGTAGTAGATTCTGGTTACCACTAAACTTCACTGTTTGCTAAAGAAAACAACTTATTGACTTTGGTATCAGAGAACAAGGGGACTGGTGTGTCGGGTATAGTCTGGGTCAAACGTCTCGAACACTCGACAGTATTTACCATGTAAGTACCCGAAGATCTTGGGTATTAAGGAGGGTTTTATCCCAGTTTGTGGTTCAGACATAATATGTGATGACCAGTAGTGTTATTAGTATATCCCAATCATATAACTCACAAGTAGATGACAGATATTGTTAAGTGTTCAAGACTTCTGACCCCAACTGTACTTACTGACTTACAAAGCTAGTTTTCCCAGAGACAAATACAGACTGGGAGAGAAACAAAACAACTTATAATGTTTGCGGATATATTTGTTCGTACGACATCACCAGGATATAAATGGAGAGAATTATGCTAGTTTGTCTCTTATAGATTAATATATCACGGTATAACACCAGGCACTCTGCAGGAGTCGGGATAATACAGTAGAATCTCTCAAGCTCGGTGATCGACAGTTCATAATATGGCTTCGTTTACATCAACTAGTGAATCAAACTGCATCATGGTGGTGGGAAATAATATTGTTTCCATTTTTAAAACAAACTTAAACAACTATACAATATTAATATGTCTGAAACAAATTTGTGATGCATATATGAAGAAAAAAAAATTACATCACACTAGATATAGATTCTGACAAGACTAATTTTTTTTATAACAATCCTGGCGGCTGTACCATATTTAAAAGACTAGATTTATACCTGTATGTTATTCACCATTTAATAGATTCAACTGTAATAAAGTAACATTGAAAAAAGTTATATTAAGGCAGGAATAAGAGAGGAACCATCCACTTAGTACCGCCAACACTTGGTTCAAACAGCTTGTAATTAAGCTAAACTCAAACCATTTTTTTCATCATTAACTAAACAAAATAGATGATAAACTAAAAGATCCATTAACTAATAAACCACATGAATATTTAACTCACAAACCTCACAACAGATAATTTACAAAAAAAAAAAAAAAAGAATCAGTCACTTAACTTATTTTTGATTCACATTTCCAAGAGATTTCAAAGTACCAAATACACAGATAAATAATGTTACAAAATTTCGTCACCTTTCATGGAACTTTCTTGATGAGGTACATTCTATATTAAAGCTTCTATGTCTCTATATGTTAAAGTTTCCTCACCGACACTCCAGGACCAGAGGCGTGCTTCAGACTACAAATAATTCGGTGCAGTTTTCTTCGTGGCCGTACATACAGTCGTTCAGGCTACCTTCAGCAGCTTTGGATTTTAACTGTAATACTGAACATGAGTCAAAAACACAGTAATCAAATCTTCCCACTTGATATTAAGAGGCCAGACACATCAGTACACTGCACCTTTGGTTGATAAGGACAAACTTTACTGTGTACTTTGGTTGATACGGACAAACTTTACTGTGTACTTTGGTTGATAAGGACAAACTTTACTGTGTACTTTGGTTGATAAGGACAAACTTTACTGTATATCTTGTCTGTATTCCAACCTTCATTTAATTTATGATAATGTCTGGTCTTTAAAGCTAGTAATACTGTATCTTATTCATGTCATGATCCACTCAAACTACTTCTTTGGGTACAGCAAGAGAATGAACTATATCGGGGGGGGGGTTTCACGCATATAATAACAGAACGGTTCAGTTATTCCACACATAAACACTCGACAGGACTGTGGAACCTCATGAAAGTGGTCGCCAGGGCCAACAATCAGCGTGTTTGGGTAGTGAGGCGGTCAAAGATGGGAAGATACGTCATTCACTCCCGGTATTATGGGTCTGTGGCGGTACTAACGTTTAATCTCAAATTAATTCACCGAGTTACCAAGATCGTCAGTTAGTAAGAGAATACACAGACTTGAGAGGTTCTACTGTATATATATATATATATTCTTTTATATCAGGACATGATGAATATAGATAAATGTATAGAACAAATTATAAGATCAGATAGGTTCAATAAAGTTTTAAATAATATCAATAAGTTGTACCAATAGTGAACATCATCGTCTTCCTGTTCTTTAACCCCCCCCCAACCCCACCATCTCTCCTGAGCTCTGATTGCCCGGTGTTCTTATCTGGTTTTATCACATAAGCATTTCAGAATCTGGAACGCAATTTGCCGTCACGTTATGTGAACCGTGAAGGCATTTACACTGTTTAATAAGCCTCGGTTATAATGTTCGGGTTTTTGTATAGCTCCAAGCAGCCTACGCCAGTCTAGTCGATATTGTTTGTAGCCACGAGGATATTTGTGGGGATCCCTTCTGAGACAAGATCTTTGCCAATGGTGCGAGATGTGTGTCAGTCTGAGGAGAGAAGAGGGAATTATTTACTCGTGTGTCGTGTAGATCAACAATTGAAACGCTGACAAGATAAATCACGACAAAATCACACAGGAAAATGGAAACAATGGAGTTTTTTCCCTTTTCCTGTGGTTTTGTTGAGATTATCCATATATATATATATATATATATATATATATATATATATATATATATATATATATATATATATATATATATATATATATATATATATATATATATATATATATATATATATATATATATATATATATATATATATATATATATATATATATATATATATATATATATATATATATATATATATATATATATATATATATATATATATATATATATATATATATATATATATATATATATATATATATATAAATAAGTGAATTTTACCAATGTTTTAAAAAGAATTATTCGTTCATTCCTGAAATACGATAAATTATGTCTGTTTTAATATTAATTTTGCCATTCTTTAAGAGGTCTTTTATTCTTGTATTAATTTAATAGTGGTAATATATATTATTATCCCACAAATGTCACTAATTAGTCGTATGTATATCGGTTAAGAGATGGTATTGATTACAGTAATACATTCCTTTGATATTTTATCTTATGGGGGTCATAGTAAAGGTGAAAAACTTGGTACAAAACTTTTATGGAATCTGTGTAAACATTTTCCCCCAAAAATCATTAAATTCTGGATTTGTGTTTCGGGAAAAAATTAAATTCTTTCTGTATTCCTAATTTCTTCTTTGGTGTTAATTTTTATGTTAATTTTTTAGTGTTAATCTGGATGTATTTAAAGCAGTTCAAAATGTTAAAGAGAAAAATGTGTTTGTTCAAATAATTTGGTTTTTTGGTCAGAATTTATATATTTATTTATTTACTTGTTTTTTTGTTTTTGTTCAGGAGTTCACTGTAAGTACTAATGAACATAGTGATTAAGAACCTAACCTAATCTAACCTAACGTAACCTAACCTAATGACTCCTGTGGTGTAGTAAAGGTGTCAAACATTTAAGAGACAAACGATAACTTCCAACTTTCAAGACAAAATTTTACACATTTCATATTTCCTAAAAGACTTCCTTCTACCTTAAAAAAAAAATCAGTCGTTAATTTGTTAAACTTTCAGTCATTTCTCACCTGGCCGTGGCCGGCAACGATCTGTGCTGCCACGAGCATGGCCCAAGCCTCCGGGGAACCTGGACACATGAGGACAGCTCGCTGAGCCTGTTTCAAGCTGGTCTTGTTTTTGGAGTTCCTCTGAATGCTAACTTCTAACCCCAGGGTGGCCATTACACTTGTTACAGCATCCTATAAAAGTAATTTGGTGTTTAGTTACATTCATAAAGGTACCACAGATTTACTACTCACTCTAAGTTTTTTTTATCCTATTTATTGTTTATTGGTTTCATCCACCTAAATCATCTCTCATATTTTTTTTTTTTACATTTCTTCCTGAATCCTTGTTTCATATAGTAAGTAAAGTCAGGTCATTGATTCCCCTTGATGTGATAACCTGACCACTCTCATTGACCCCTAATGAGGAAGGAATAACACCCATAAAATGTAATAAAAACAAAATAAACAAGAGAAAAACACACAAGACTGACCTGGGTGATGGTCTTGTGTTCTCCGGCCGCCTGAGACAGTTTGGTGGCAGCTGCGGCACACATGGCCGCCGCCGAACACTGGCCGCTGATCTTCTTGCTGGTCGACGTGGTGGTGGTGAGCAGGTGACGGGCCAGCGACCGCCACAGAGGAGCGCTTGACGGGTGTTGGTGGATCGTGCGGCTGAGGATCGACTTGGCCTCCTTTGTGTTCCCCTGATAAAAGATAACATTAAAGTTTTCCATTGTTTACCTGATAAAAAAGATAACACCCCCACCCACACACCAACATAACTTAACCGTACCCTCACCCGTGCAGTAGCTTCTGCGGCCTTAATAAACGCTACGTGGTGGAGGTAATCTTTGTGGTGTTCGTAAGGAGCGAGTTCAGCCAACGCCGCACTGGTCAGCACGGCGTCGCCAGAGATCAGACCCAACGCAGCCAGTGCCAAAAGTCCACGTACCGACGCCCCGCTCAGTTGTGACCTGCGATGGCGGGGTGATTTAGTATATTACATTGAGGTCCTTTATGTAATGGAGGTGTTTCTTACTATATTCTGTTAAATGGGGTTTTATATCTAATGGACACCACTATATAATGGACTTTCATCTCTATATAGTTCATTAGATGGAGGCTTTATATCTAATGGACCCTCGATATAATGGACTTTCCTCTCTGGATAGTGTACCTGGAATAAGTCATCTGTTCCCGATGAAAGATAATTTATACCACTATACCAAGACTGTGTGATACCTCTATTAATCAATATTTTAATGAATGAGGAAGCACAGAAGATGAAGATGGAAGCAGGTATAACTGATAAGGATTTTGAGGAGATAACGAGAAGAGAATAAGCGAGAGAGCGATTATTAGATGACAAGAATGAATGAGAATAGAAGCAAAATGATGATGATGATGATGATAAAAAAGAGAATGATCGCTGGAGTAACACCGTCTTGTCGTACCCTTGGAAGAGGAGATTCTTGGCTTCGTCGGACTTCTGGAACTTGTACTGCAGGGATGCCAGAGCTACGAGGATGTGTGACTTCTGCGTGTCGTCGGGTGCCAGCCAGTGGAGGGCAGCGGTGTAGCCATTGTATGCGTCCTCGAACTGGCCCGCTGAAGAAGGGGACGTTAGGTAAATCAAATGTAATCTTTTGTTTTCATTACACACAAGTTGGATTTGTTTTGATCAGTATTTTTATTGTTATTGATCTTTTATTACTGTCTATCTTAAAAGTTATATTTATTTCCCTTCCTTCCTTCCCTTCCTTCCTTCCCTCCCTCCTTCCATCCTTCTTTCCCTCCCTCCCTACCTCCTTCCTTCCTTCCCCCCTTCCTTTATTACACACAAGTAGTATTTATTTCCATCAATATTTCCCTTTATCTTTTATTTCTGTCTACCGTAAAAGTCATTATTAGGCGGGAAATATAGGAAGTTGTTCGCAGTCATATTTCCCGCCTCTGTTGACAGTCGTGTAATATTTCAATGTGATTCTGATCTTTAGAAATGTTAGTTTTTGTATAATGTAGAATTACTGATATATAATTTGTCTTAGTATGTCTTATTGTAGGTAAAAATAAGTATATATTAAATGCATCCTCCAAAAGCGTGAATTTGCTACAAGAGTTTAACAGTTAATTCACGTATAATACTTCTGATAAACTTCCTACGTGCTCATGTTTGAAATAATGAATGTTTGTATCTATATATAATTTAGCTAAATATCTTTCTCCTCAGAAACGGTCATCCCAACGATTATGAATAAACTCATTTAGAAATACATCATTACTTCAGGACAAAATTGGATGGGTTTGCAACGGCCAATCAGCTGTAACTCTTGAGGAGGGGGCGGGGCATCTCTTCTCAGCTGGGAAAAAATGCACTATAGTTGGTTACCAGAGTTAGGTTGAGAAAAATTGCAAGACTATCATTCTTTAACCTACCTTCATCTCCCCTAACAGTGTACGACCAGGCCTATACACCACCCACACCACCAGGCCTATGCACCACCCACACCTCCCCTAACAGTGTACGACCAGGCCTATACACCACCCACACCACCAGGCCTATGCACCACCCACACCACCAGGCCTATGCACCACCCACACCTCCCCTAACAGTGTACGACCAGGCCTATACACCACCCACACCACCAGGCCTATGCACCACCCACACCACCAGGCCTCACCAGTGTACGACCAGGCCTATGGCCTATGCACAACCCACACCTCCAGGCCTATGCACCACCCACACCTCCCCTAACAGTGTACGACCAGGCCTATACACCACCCACAACTCTTACAAACTTTGGTCTTACCTTTCAAACTGGCAAGAGCTAGACCACACTGGGTGAAGTAATCTGGACTCTTGATGGCTTTAAACTGTTTCATAGCTTCCTCCACCTTCCCCTGGGCAGTAAGCGTTCTGCCCAGGTTACACCGCACGCCATCAAGGCAATCCTGCATCTCGGGCTATAAGATAAAGATATATATTATTTTACGAAGTTTATCCACTCCAATTCGTGTTATAAAATGTAAAGAGAGCTAATATCCGTTGTGTCAGCATGAGTTCTGTGATTAATGTCCTGCCTCTGTGTCGGGAACTCATATAGCATTTGTCATAACTTCACTACTTTTAATTATAATGAATCCAATTGTTTTCTTTTTTAAATTGAAATATTATTATCCTCTCAAGATGTGGAATATCTGGTAGCAATAGCTTATATCTCCTTATGACATTTTAAAGGAATTTCTTCATTCTATCTATAAAAAAATTCATTAAATACATCACAAGACCCAAGTCAAGATAAAACAATATTACTGGAACATATAGGAAAGGTTATCATTCATTCTCATATCTCCAAACACACCTACAAACCCAGACAGGAATATTAACACCTACAAATCCATCCTGCTCTCATCCTTCACTCAGACTGCACTCATCCACGAGAAATTGTACATTCACTTACCTGGTCTGGGTCAATTGCTGCCATGGCCATTTCATAAGCCTTGGCTGCTGATTGGTAGAGGCCCATCATTTCCAAGGTCAGACCGTTCATGTTTAGACCAATGACATCTTCCTCTTTCTCCCTGTAAGATAACATTCAACATTCACAGGAGGTTCTACACATATCATTATCAACTCAACATTAAAATTAAAGAAAACATTCACAGGAGGTTCTACACATTTGATCATTCATTGTATAACTTAAAATAACAACATTCACTGGAGGCTTTACACATTCGATCATTCATTACCACCACAGTATTGAAACTTGTCCCAAAATATTAATTACCACCAATAAAAATCTAAAATCATTCAAGTAAATTATTCACTCGCCAGTAAATGTTTGATAATTTTTTCATAGTCGAATTATTTTTGTTTCTGATTATATTTCCCACAGTAACGACAGACAGACAGACAGAGACAGACAGACAGATAATTAAATAAGAATTGACCCCAAACGTACCAGAAAGTAAAACCATCGGCAATATTTTTCTGTCTATACATTCAACTAGCATTGCCATCTTACCTCAGACCGACCCTAAAGAAACCACTGTACACTAAACCACACGACATTTACAGGCGGCAGATGGCATCCCTTGGTGGATTATCTACCGAGAAATCTATATAGTTCGTGAAATATAAACTGAGACAGATCATAGTTATTTAATTTACTTGTCTATAGTAATAAATGCTGTATTGGTGACCACGGCCAGAATAAGGGGTGATTAAACTATTGTACAGGTACTTATACAAGGTAAAGCCTGTCTCATATATGTATCACCTCCCCACCCACACACACACACATGTACAGTAGGTAAAACAGCTATCTGTGTATACTTTATAGGAAACAATAGGAGACCGTGGCTGATAAATGTTGGTACTATATGAAGGCTGTCACTAGTTACATGTAAAAATTTCAGGGGAGCATATCGACCCCCATATGCACAGATAGTTGTTTTAGTTAATGTACATTTTAATTACACCAACAGATGGCATTAGAGACATTTTCTTGGATCTTGAACACACTATATATCAATGGGAGATGCAATTAGTACTCTACTCTTTGAAGGAATATGTGATATTCTTTTTATACTTTATTAAACAGTTTGGAGGCATGAGTTGGCTTCCTGTGGTGAAACTGTGTCAGGGGAATGACTCTCTGAACTGACTTATTTACACCCTGATTGTTTCATCTCGTTTGGGGGTCGATGTTGGTTGATTCTGAACGGGAACTGAACTATTTTACCCCAACTGTACCGTAATAATATAATTCTAACCGTTTCCGCACACGCACACACGTCACCGTAAACTAACCGTGAATAGAAGGTGGAGGCGTCTGTTGCGGCCGGTAGAGACTGCTTGATGGTGTACTGAGTCCGCTGATTGGTGTTCTTCTTAGAGTCGCTCGCTAGATTTGTGACGTGGTGAGAATACCCTACGCAACTCTCCACTTGGATGCCCAGAAGAGTCGTGTGTCGGAAGAGATCGAACACCTCAGAGTGGCCGACCTTCTCCGCGACGAGCGCCTGGGGGAAGGAGTTATATACACAAGCTGTCACGCAACTATTTCCACGCTAACCTAACCTGGTATTAGGCGGTATAGATGAGGGGCGTGGCTTATGGGCCAACTAATATTCCAAAATAAACACCTCGACTCCTGTTGTCTCGGCACGGCTGTCAAATTCCGTCGTCCGTTCCGCCTTATTGTCCCACACATAATGATAAAAGATACTGTTTGGACCAAGTGTACTACATTCTGTCAACTTTCACTTTAATGGAAGCCAAGATTAATCACAGAGTTCCTTGGTGAATGTCTGAAGCACTGGTAACGGGTCTTTAGAAATGTGGACGATCGTTAGGAGGAAAAATGGCCAAGTACATCGTTCATAGCCTAGGGTTAACTATGTGTATTACCTCTCTTGGTATATTTTAGTTTCTATATTTTATATCTTTCTATAATGATATATCAAAAACCTAACCTAACTTAACCTAACCAAACATAAACAAAGTAAAAAAATTTATGCACAAACAAATAAATAATATAAATTTACTCGACCATAGATGGACAGACCAGCATTTTAACTTAAGATCAGCGTAGGAAACATTAAAAATAAATAGACAGATAGACAGACAGACAGACACAGACAGATAAACAGATAGATAAATAAAAACTAAAAAATCCAACTACAGAAACACATCAACCAAAAATAATGCTTTGGAAAAAATTTATGAATGATGAAAATATTAATAAGAGCGCAAAGTATATTACAGAGGCTTTAATAAGAGAGAGACACACCTGTAATTATATCTTACCTGTCCCACCCAACAAGTAACGAAGGATGGATCAAGTGCCTGGGCCTGAGAGAATGCTTCATGTGCCAGGCTGTGTTCGCTGTGTGTCAGGTAGAACGCTCCCAGGTGAGTCCAGACCACCGCATTGGGCTGGTACTCGCAGGCCCTGATGAGGGCGTGCTGGGCTAGAGCGTATTGCCCCACTACTGTAAGATGAATGTATATTACGACATGTCTCTACAGTGTTTCAGGTACTTCAATATCTACAGAATCTCTATATACTTATTTAAATCATGATGGAACAATTTTACATCTGTTTTAATATGGACTCTATAACCTACGCTACACCAAACACAACTTCTTATTGTATTTTTTCAAGGTGTAATATATTTGCTATAAACTGTAATTACTATGACATATATCAGAGTTATCTAGTAGTTATTGTACGAAGATTTATTTATTTTTTATGTTAACCCTCTCGCTGTTACCCGCTGTTACCCGCACTTGCTGTTTTTATTCTGGCTACCCCCCCTCCCCCCAGACGATTTTATTCAGCTTAGGGTAACCTCCCGCAGCCAAAGGGTTAATGGATTAAGTTCGTACAGATTCATCCATAAACTGTTACAATTATAAGCGGCTTAAACTCTTACAATTATGAGCGGCTACGATGCCAAGCGAGTTCCAAGTCTTGCCGTTCAGAGGGTCCAAACTGAGGCTCTTCCTTAACGCCATCACAGACCGATCCATCAAGTCTCTGGTGTTGACGTCGTTCCTCCCGTCCACACCCTCCTCCAAGACTTTCCCCTGTAGGTACGTGTTGACCCCAAGGTCGTGCCAGAGCATAGCATCATCTTTAGTCACCTGAAGAGCTACCCCATAACACCTGTGAAAGGAAAAAATAAAAATAATTTATATCCTGTGTCATAAACTTAATAGCAATAGAAATTAATAGGAATATATTATCACTATTCCAGGTATGAATCGGCTATTAATAAGCCAAGTGTCTCAAGTAACCAAGTCGGGTTATAGTATGAAAAGTAAGGTTATAAGAATAAAAAGTACACTAATATACTGAGATAATAATCTTCCAAAAAACAAAAAAAAATTAACATCAACATAGATCTTTCTTAACCCATTGCAGACACGACACATATGTAAAAGTCCGGTACATAAGACTTGGGGCCCCATCTCTGCTGGGCGGGCTATCCCATTATACAGGATCTGGGTACAGTATTCTCAAAATCAGAAAATACCCCAAATCCGAGAAACTTATAAGCCCCAAGTATTTTGGATAAAGATTACCCGACCTGTACCTGAAACACACTTCAATAATTACTGAAACACAACACACATCAAAATAATGAACTGAAACACCATGAAACACACCATAACAACTCTCACCTGGCACCAATCTGTAGAATCTGCATCTTATCCACTTCAGTCATCTCCTCTAGATCCTCGACATCTTTCTGGATCAGTTTCGCTGGGATGCTAAAATTGGAGAGAGACGTGGGCATTGGGTAGAGCAGAGTACAGGCGTCACCAATCAACTTCCAGATACAAGCGCTCTCGGGTTTTATGCTGGCGGCCCTGTGGATCGTAAGTTGGTTGGGTTATAGATTATTATTTAAAATTATCTATGAACAGTCTCATTACAAAACCCTATACTGTATTACATGTGATTGGCAAAGATAAAACACAATTTGTATTAGGAATTCCATTTTTTCATTCATTAACAATACAGTACAAGGAAATCCAATTTTTTTACTCAATTACAAGAAATTCCATAAATTATCTCAATCATTAATAAAAAAATCCCTAAATTACCCCCACCAAATCCCTGAAAAAAATCACTAAAAAAAACCCAGACACGTATAATGCATCTCGAGGCTTCACACATACACACACACACACACACACCTTATGAGACAGACAAGAGCACGGAGACAGGCATCCTTAACGTTGGCGTGGAAGAACTGCTCGTAGTGTTTCCTGGCGGCGGCTATAAGGGCTTCGGCTAGACCAATCAGTGACACGACTTGGACGGGCTTTATCGGCTCGCGCTTCAAGACGGTTTCGTAGTCCTTTACGGCGTCCAGTGTCTCTCCGACTATCTGTGTGTGTGAGAGGGGGTTAAGAATTAGCTGTAGTTAAAATAAGGTGAAATAATTAAACTTAAGAGTCCTATTACTGAGTCCTATGGGTGTGTACTCTTATTTACTGAGTCCTATAGGGATGTTCTCTTATTTACTGAGTCCTATGGGTGTGTCCTATTACTGAGTCCTATGAGAAGAATCTCTTACTTACTTACTAAGTCCTATAAGCAATGTCATCTACCTTTCTGAGTCCTATAGGTGCGTCGTCTACCTTTCTGAGTCCTATAGCTGCATCATCTACCTTACTGAGTCCTATAAACAATGTCATCTACCTTACTGAGTCCTATAGGCACGACCTCTTACTTTAATCCCTTGAGTACGATGACTTAACCTCAAAGTAAAGTGTTAATTGTACTCAAGGTCAGGTTAGGTCAGGCATAACACACTCCAGAACTCACCTGTTTAATATGAGCTATCTGGTAGAGGGGATACAGAGCTCCAGGGTTGAGAAGTGAAGCATAGTTGAACGCCTTGAGGGCCGCAGAGTGAGCCCCTCTGGCCAGGTAAGCGTCGCCCAGACACTCGAACGTCGCGCTGTAACAAGACCCCAGACACCGAGGTAATTAAAGGGGGGATAAATAAAACCGCGGCTAATGTTTATAAATAGAGACGAACGACGAGAGTAAATTGAGGTGTTGGTAAATGTTAGGTACAAATATTGAGAGATAATTTATTTCTGTCATTTGTGATTTATTCTGAGTCATTTGTGATTTATCAAGTCATTTGTTATTTATTCCGAGTCACTTGTGATTCACTTGGACATCTTGCATCCACGGTGAAATAAACTCAGGTGTAATTATCAGGTAATCAATAAATCAGGTGTGTAATTATTACATAACACAATGCCACCTTGACCCTAACTGACCTGTCATGAGGTACATTGACCCTAACTGACCTGTGACCCAAACTGACCTGTCATCTGGGTTGATCTTGAGGGTACACTGAAATGCCTGGATGGCCTGGTCGTAGTTCTGTAGTGCTAGGTGATGCAGTCCTAGCCTCAGCCACGCCCAGCAGCAGGAAGCACGGCCGCCTTCATTCGTGATGCGGTGAAGCAAGTTGATGTTTGCTTCCTGTAGTGAGATAAAGGATTTGATTTGGTGGTGCTATAGTGTGTGGTGGTATAGTGCGTGGTGCTATAGTGTGTGGTGCTATAGTGTGTGGTGCTATAGTGTGTGGTGCTATAGTGTGTGGTGTACAAAGATCTAACTTACAAACTAACAAATTAACTAACTAACTAGCCTAACCTAACTACCAAACAAACCAGACACGACTTACATATTTGCCGAGAATCCTGTAAAGGTCCGACAGAGCCGCCCCCGTCTGGTCGTCACAGGGGTCAAGGGAGAGGGCCTTCTCGTAGCACTTGACCGCCTTTTCCATGTTGTCCTGCCGGCGGTAGAAGTGGCCAAGGTACAGGAACGGCCCGCCGAGCTTTGGGTTCAGCTTCCCGGCCCGCATACAGCTCATCTGGGCCTTCTGAAGCTCTCCCGTGGCGAAGTAAACGCAGCCCAATTCCAAATGACCTTCGGCGGATTTAGGTTCCTCCTGCAAATGTCCGCCGTTCCCCCCAAAGATGATGTGGTTTTAAGGGGGTAACTTTCACCATGGTGGAATAAATAATGTCAGTTCTTTTAATAATAATAATTTGTCTACTCGTCGGACAGACACAGATTCATTGGTCCACTTGAATGATTGGGGATTTTATGGTGATTAATTTAAGCTTTACAAGATATAAGTTAGACCACCAGTATATAGGTATTCCCTCGTAGTAATGCATTTTGTGGTGTTGGAGAGAGGTGTGGGACTAATGCTGTGACCATCAACCGTTACAATCTCTCATTCTCAATTTTCTACCTAATTTAGACATCAATAATACTCTAACGCATCCAGGACCCACTGTACACATATATTAGGTACATCAAACACATATTTAGAACACATATTAAAACACATCAGTTACAGTAATGATATAATGAGAGGTACTGTATTTATAATTGATTCCACAGATCTTGTATAAAACATCTTGAGACAGAAATTACTTATAAAAATCATATTACCTCGACAAACTCCTCTAGGACCTGCATAGCTTTCTGTCGTTCTCCCTGAGCTCGGAGCAAACACCCCCTCAGGAGCTTGAGCTGAGAGTGTTCGCCAAAAGCTTCCTCTAGTTTCAACAATTCATCTTCAGTTTGGTCAAACTCTAGTAACTTGATACGTGATCTAACTAACAGGAGTCCACAGTCCAAGCTTGTGTATGCGTGCTGTGGTGAGACAGAATTAAACTTTAAATACGTAGATAGATAAAAAAAAATTATATATTTGATTTAATACATTCTGACGTGACAACTACTAAAATTCACACAGTAATTTGCATATTCACGGCGAAAATTAACCGTAAAAAATCCCTGAAAGAGTTTTACACGATGGTTAAGCGTTGACAAGATGGTGTTTTAGTCATGTGTGTGTGTGTAGAGGAGATGTTAAAAGCTGTGTGTTTGTGGGACTATACACCACTGACCAAACACAGACCTGCGTTAACATGACCCCTGACCTCCTATTACCTGCCGAATACCCTTATAAAGACAAATCAATGTACATATCCCCAAGATCATTTAACACTACCAACTCACCTCCTCCAGTATGTCCACGGCCTGTCGGAGATGATTCTTGTGGCCCATGATCACGTAAGCCTTGGCCTGCGTCAGCATCATCTTGGTCCGGTACGCCTCGAACCCCTCGTCGTCCGGTATGGTGATCGTCTCGTCCGCCTCCATTATCTTGAGGGACTTCTTGCAGGACACCTCGACCCCCGGCCAGTCGTTAGTCGCCTCTTGTATCTCCAGGAGGATCTTCCACGGTAGTAGGTTGTTACCGACCCTCTCGGCGCCTGAGGGAGGGAGGGAGGAGGGGTGCTGATGATGATGTAAACGTGGGAGTTATTAATTTACTGGGAAGAGTGGGGGGTGTAGGAGAGAACAGAGAGAACACAGAACAAAGAGAACAGAGACAACAAAGAGAAGAGAGAGAACAGAGAGAAGAGAGAGAAGGGAATATTGAGAACAGAGAGAAGAAAGTGTGTGTATATTATCCGCCAAGAAACGAGAAGCTAAAAAACAGCTTTCCGACACACTTACCGACCCTCAGATGAGCTTTAGCTTCTATATAGAGACCCTCGCCCTTGTACACGAGACCCTGGGCCAGGTTACCCCAAGGTGAGGCTCTGTTCAGCCTCAGGAGCTTGGTGATGTACGTACGAGCCTCCTCACTACTCAGCGGATATCCTTCTGAAATGTTTTTAATTCTGAGTTTAGTAAGGTAGTGGTGTGGTATACAATGTAATTTTACCATGAAACTCTACTGTAATAATATGATATACAATGTAATTTTACCATGAGAGTTTAACATTGTAAATACTTAAGCCAAAAAAAATCACACAGACCAAGAATCATTATAATTTGAAACACTTTATATAAGAAACCTCCCAGACCATAAACAGCTAAGTGGCCCCTCAAAAAACAATAGAAAATGGAGGAAAAAATGACTCGGGTAGGAATGTCTGATATACACTAATCATTTCACAGGACTTTCACCCATATGTACAGGTTAACAATTGACTTTGAGATTAACCCAAAGTAACATAGGAAAGTTCCTCTTGGGGGTAATACAGTGCAATACTCGACGCGTTTCAGGGATTTATGGGTTTTATCGAGTTATGGTCTAGAGTTCCTGATATTAGTTATTTATTATTATTATCTATTTTGTCTTTTGCGGGATATATGTTTGTTGGGTTGGGTTGGGTTGGGTTGGGTTGGGTTGGGTTGGGTTGGGTTGGGTTGGGTTGGGTTAGGTTGAAGTTGGTTAGGTTAGGGTTAGGTTAGGATTTGAACCTCAAACAGAACACATGTATGGCTAACTAACAGGCTAGAGTAAACACAACAGGTGGAATATTGTAGAAAATCCCGAAACACCGCGACGGTTAACGGAGCCTTACCTTCATCCTCTTGCGGGTTTGTTGTCATGAGCACGTACATCCGACATATCCACTCAAGCGGATAATATGTGGGGAATATCTCGGCCATGGTCCGGGCCGCTTCAACGAGCTTGACCAGTTGACGTGTCTGGTACAAGAGGCGGATGTATCGTTGGTAGTTCCCCTCGTTATCCCCCAGGACTGACTCGTTCAGGACGTTTTCCAGCGCCTCTTGTAGCTAAAGGGAGGCACGATGGTTAGGTTTGAGTTTGGTTGGGTTACGTTAGAGTTAGGTTAGGTTAATGCTAGATAAGGTTGGGTTGGGTTAGGTATACACATATAAAAGTGTATTGCAAGCATATTAAAGGTACTAAAACTGTATTAACAGTACTAAAAGTGTATTAAAAGTACTAAAAGTGCATTACAAAAGTACTAAAACTGTATTAAAAGTACTAAAAGTGTATTAAAAGTACTAAAACTGTATTAAAAAGTACTAAAACTATATTAAAAGTATATCTAAAGTACTGACACTCTATTAAAAGGTGTACCACAAGTATATAACAGCACATCCATAACATATTACCCTAATCAAAGCATGAGAACATACTGTTTTAAGGGTAATCATTTTTATACACCCTGTACAACACAACCCCCTAAGGCGTACCTCAGAAGCATGTTCATCCGGGAGGTCTTTAATCCCTGAGAGCGTCTGGGCGATGCTCCTCCACACCTCTTGGACCCTCTTGTGGTCTTTTAACTTGGTGGTCAGGAGCTTCAGGGTGGCGGCAGCCTTGAGCGGCTCATCGTTCTTCAGTTGCAGGGCCGCCAGTTTACGGTAAACGTTGTCAACTTTGTCGTCGTCGCTGTAGAGGGAAAAGAACGTGGGCGGGTTTGTTGATATGGGGTTATTATTGTCGTGGGTGGTTGAAGAAAGTGGAAATATTAAGTGACTAGATAATTAATGTTGAGAATTGTAAAAAAAAACGTAAAAAATAAGCGATTCATCGATAAACGGGAAATAAAAGTCATGAATAAAAGGTAAATAAATCATAAATAATAAGTGACTGGAAAATAAATGTCGTGAATTGTTAGAGAAAACGTAAAAAACCAAGTGACTCCCCGACAAACACCAAATAACCGTCGTAAAACTGTAAAACAAACGCAAACATCGTAAATAAAATGCCTGTATATATCACCTCTGCATTTTATTAACACTGGTCAATATATCAAGATCTCCATAGTATAATTCTGCCTCTCCTTAAGCTATTTATTGCGGCTATTTATGCTATTTATCTCTCTCTCGCTCTCTCTTACTGCTAGTTTATGCTATTTGTCTCTCTCTCGCTCTTACGGCAATGCTAGTATAGTAATAGCTACACATATTTCACTATTAACTGCTATTTCTATTTGTTCTCTTGATTTTTTCACCCCTATGTAGGTCCCTAACTTAACCTAACCTAACAATAACCTGACCTGACCTAACAATGACCTGACCTGACCTGACCTAACCTAACAATAAGCTAACCTAACAATGACCTAACCTAAAAAAGACCTGACCTGAACTAAACTAACAATAACCTAACCTGTAATAGCGTACAGCCATTAATAAAGACCTGTAATTGTATCCAGTCATTAATAAATGACCTGTAATCGCATCCAGTCATTAATAAATGACCTGTGACTTACTCTTTAATAATGTGGGTGAGTCTGATGTATATAGTAATGGTCTCGTCCAAAGTGCTTATGTTGGGTTGCTTCTCACACAGCATGGCCAGACCTTGCCATGCCACGGGGCTCTCTGAGTCCACTTGTGTTGCCATCTGGAAAACATTAATGGAATATGGTAAATAATCTTAGTAAGTTAATGGTCCTCTTAGTAAGTTAATGGTCCTCTTAGTTAGTTAATGGCCCTCTTAGTAAAGTAGTGGCCCTCTTAGTAAGGTAATGGCCCTCTTAGTAAGGTAATGACCCTCTTAGTAAAGTAATGGCCCACTTAGTAAAGTAATGGCCCTCTTAGGGGTCAAACCTTCATTAGACTATGTTTATCACATGTATATTCATCTGTCAAAATATACATACATACATACATACATACATACATACTACAACTACTACTACATACATACACATTGATACATACATAAACATATAGACACATACATACATACTGCAACTACATACGTACAAACATCTCGATACATACATAGATACACACATACATACTACAACTAATACTACTACGCATACATAAATCTCCACACACACACACACACACACACACACACACGTTACCACTACAATACAGTAATGCCATATAAAAATTTTACCAGTAGCGGGAAATACACCGATTTTTCTTAACCAAACTATACTTACCATCAGGGCTTTTTTGGAGTCTTCGAGCTTCCCAAGTTCCTGACACGCTCGGCCAAACAACAACAGAGCATTGTAGTTCTTGCGATCGTATTTCAGTGCAGTCTGGGGGCGGGGGGGAGGAAGAGATTAGCTCATAATGGACGTCAAAAATTTGGATAATGGAGTGTCGTATAATAATTAATGAGAAAACACTCACGTGTAACTAGCCTTAATGATTAGATAATGTCGTCCAATAGTTCATGCGGCTCGTTAACTCAGGGTGTGTTTGTTGGTGACAGCTTCTACACCTTAAACACTGGGTCATGCAGCTCGTTAACTCAGGGTGTGGTTGTTGTGTTGGCGACAGCTTCTACACCTTAAACACTGGGTCATGAACCTCGTTAACTCAGGGTGTGGTTGTTGTGTTGGCGACAGCTTCTACACCTTATACAAATTCGCCCCTAGGTGGCCCTTGAGCCGGCCATCCTCGTTACATGATGGGCAGCCAATATTATTATAGGTTGGGTTAGGTTAGGTTGAAATCACATTTTTCCGATGGTTTTTGATGTGTTTATTCTGACTTTCATTTCAAATAAGTTGATGAACAAAGTGATAATTTTACCAGAATCTGAAAAAAATAATATTATACCAGGACTCACCTTACAGTGTTTGGCCAGGACTCACCTTACAGTGTTTGGCCAGGACTCACCTTACAGTGTTTGGCCAGGACTCACCTTACAGTGTTTGGCCAGGACTCACCTTACAGTGTTTGGCCAGGACTCACCTTACAGTGTTTGGCCAGGACTCACCTTACAGTGTTTGGCCAGGACTCACCTTACAGTGTTTGGCCAGGACTCACCTTACAGTGTTTGGCCAGGACTCACCTTACAGTGTTTGGCCACGGCCTCGAAATCATTCTCCTTCATGGCCTTCTTGGCGTCCCTCAGGGCAAATTTAACCTCATTCATGACGCTCCTGTAACAAGTGTACATAGAGAGATTAGCACATATGTTAACCTAACTTAACCTAACCTAACCTAACCTTATCTAACCTAACCTTATCTAACCTAACCTTATCTAACCTAACCTAACCTTACCTTGCCTTACCTTACCTTACCTTACATACCTTACCTTACACTTACATACCTTACCTAACCTTATCTAACCTAACCTTATCTAACCTAACCTAACCAAACTTAACCCCCCAGATAGCAATAGGGTAGTTAATCATCACGTCAAACAAGCTGGGGTAGTTAATCATCACGTCAAACAAGCTGGGGTGGCTAATCTTCAGCTAGCATAGGACACAAATTAAGTAAATTATCCTTAAAAAAACATTAATATCAAGTGAATGTTTACCATATTGTTTACTGTTTATATATATAATTTGTTTATATGTTTACGATCAACCAATGGAGATTTATGTTATTGAATTACTATCTGTCAATCTGTCTATCTATCTGTCTATCAATCTATCTGTCAATCTGTCTATCAATCTGTCTGTCTATATCCAGTATCTATCTATCTATCCACTGTCTCTCTATCTAATGACAGTACTGTATATATCTATCTATCTACCTGTCTAACCACAGTATCTATCCATCCATCTATCTATCCATCTATCCATCCATCTATCTATCTATCCATCCATCTATCTATCTATCCATCCATCTATCTATCCATCTATCCATCCATCTATCCATCTATCTATCCATCCATCTATCTATCTATCTATCCATCCATCTATCCATCTGTCTATCCATCTATCCATCATAAACCAGAACCAGGATGACTGTCACCTCCACACACCCGTATGTTTACCTCACTTAATTCATGACAGGGAGAGTATATTAACCTAACGAGGCTGTTAATGACTGGTAATAAGGTTTAATTTAGTATTTTAACTCTACTTACATTATATTATCGAGGAACTATTAAATTATGACCTGTTTTCCGTCTCTTATGGCAGACGGGACCAGCACACGTCCATTGGTGTTGTTGGCCTGACTTGGAATAATTTTTAGCCGAACTTAAGATGGGATTTGCTATTTTTAGCCGAACTTAAGATGGGATTTGATATTTTTAGCCGAACTTTAGATTGGATTTGATTTTTTTAGCCCAACTTAAGAGAGTTTGTATTGTTATCCGAAGTTAAGATATGTTTGTTTTGGTAACCGAACTTAGATTTTTTTTTGTTTCTTATTCATCTAATATGTAAGAGAATTAAAGTTGGTTATTTCTACTTGATTATTTACTTACATGCTTCTTATATAATTTCTTCCTTTGTATATTTGGTTATTATGTACGAAATTTTAAGTTATAACTTAATTTCTAACATTTTACTATGTCCTATTTAAAAACATCAGATCAAAGTAATTAAGCCTATATTAAGACATTTTATCATATAAGACATTTTCATAATTCAAACTAAAGCTTTTCTGGTGTTTTTTAGAAGATATTTAGTTTTCAATTCAGATACACCTGTAGATAATATCCCTAGTTGGGTTCAGACATCACCATAGAAGTATAAGTTAGGTCAAGTTAGGTTAGGTTAACAGGATGGCTTATACATGTAAATAAAATAACTTAATTCCTCTGCAAAGATTTATTTTAGACTAGAACAAGTACAATACATGTCATTCCTCTATCAGAAGGTTACATATCACTTAATAATTTGTGTCACAGTAATTTGCCTGAATTACAACTATAAGTTCTACAGTTTGAGTACATTGGTTATGTCAAAACAATGTACCTGACCTCTCTCTCTCTCCCTTCAATTAACAGAGTCTCAGGGAGCAGCTAGGGAGGGAGGGAGGGAAGGAAGGGGGGGAAGGGAGCAATCAGACAGGGAGGAAGGCAGAGAGGCAGGACATTTTTCAGGCACACTCTATAATCTAAGTAAAGCACCAAGTAATTATATTTTTGAGTGATAATAAATTATAGTTTAACCTTATTTATTCCTGAGGACTACCACAGTGTTGTGTTGTGAGACGATGGAATATTCTTAAATAATTACAACTATTCTTAAATAATTACAACTTTACAACTTTTCATCACAACGTTTTATAATAACCTACAACTTTCCATCACAAGGTCTTATATATTTTACAACTTTCCATCACAACATATAATAATAACCTACAACTTTCCATCACAACATTTTATAACCTTCAACTTTCCATCACAAGACACTCAAAGTTGTAATTATATTGTGACTAACATCATAACGACCAAACGATCTCATAGACTAGATTTTAACGATTGTTACTAAAAGATGCATTTAATTTTTGCTCCACATCCCATAAAGAACGATTATTAATATATACCTAATTATTACAGTAACATAATACATTAACTAATTTCAAAATAAAACAATTATGTAGTTTTATCAAATCCCCTGAAACAACTAAATAATATCCCAAACTGAACCGAACGACTAGAGATTATATAAAGACTTCAACTACCCTTTCCATTAACTATAAAAGCTTTTTTTTCTAAGTTTCTACGATACTTTTGATATATTACGATATATTTTGTGGACTACACTACCTGCATCTATAGCCCCAAGCACCAAAATGGGATTAATGTTAAAATCAATAATCTACTCAAAGTGCCATTGATATAATATTTTTCTCTATATATTCAACTAAAACCTGAATGATTTTTTGGGATATATTGATATATATACTGTATACATGATAAGGCTTGAGAAAAATGTATCCCTACGATTTTCTCAACTTTGCACAAATTATCTTTATAAACTTTATATTAAAAATCCCACAAGAAAAATCCAACAGTTCGTATATTATTTTTGATGAGGTTTTCTTTTCGATCTTCAGCGTAGTACAAAGTGAACCTATGACTATTAGCTATTGGAAAATATAGTCTGTATACATCAGGCACAAGTGGCTATTTTTTTTTCACCTTTTTAATACAGTTCTATACAGTAATCTGGTGCATCAACTAGCTATGTATGCTCCTATTTCCTAGTAAACAGAATACCATTATTTAATACAAGGTTAATAGTTGGGAGTTTTTCATAATGGTACATAATGGTATAACTACAGGCAATATATCATCTTCCTAATGGGTAAATGACTCGCCAGGGATGAAATTAAAGGATAAATGACTCGCCAGGGATGAAACCAATGGGTATTGACTCGCCAGGGATGAAATTACCAACACCAATCAACCCAAATGGACGTTACGGAGACATCTATTGATTTACGTGATATTTTGCTCTTTTTAAACAAGAAGCTTACAACTACAGCGTACAGTAATCATGTCACACGGTACGATAGATATACTGTACAAGCTAAATTTCACTTCAGTTACTGCATTTACAAGCGATCATTTACAAGCGATCATTTACAAGCGATCATTTACAAGCGATCATTTACAAGCGATCATTTACAAGCAATCATTTACAAGCGATCATTTACAAGCGATCATTTACAAGCGATCATTTACAAGCGATCATTTACAAGCGATCATTTACAAGCGATGTATCTCTCTCCAATATGAAACAGACACTTTATTTGTTTGACATTATACGTTCTGTTACAGTATAATTCAGTAAAATATACTCATACACCTGTACCAGTATGTTAAGTATAGATGTCATAATGTTTCAGTAAAATATGAACGAAAATCATCTATGAATTTATACAGGAAATTAGGATTGAAAATATAGGGAGTTTAACTAATCTTATTGTGTATAATTCTTCATACAGGAATTTTTTCCACTAGGAGATACTAGGATTTTTTTACACTAGGATATACTAGGATTCTTTTCACTAGGAGACACTAATAGGAGTTTTTGTAAGTGGTCTTTTAATTTTAATAGACTTAATTCAATATTTTGATTATGGCATTATCCTGAGTGTGCATTGGTTCATAATCTAACCACAATATTAGTTTGTCAGGTGTTTGTCATAACAGTAATATCCACCTCAGATAAACACAACTCTCGAGGAAAACATTACGTCGGAATCGTCTTGAAATCAACATGACTTCCACAGGAATACGAGTACAGTAAATTACAATCGTATTTCACGTTCGACAAACTCCGCATTTATCGACTCTTTAACAAAATGCACCCAAGCACCTGAGAAGCTCGTGTAAAACAATAGTGTTACTTGACACTTAAAACACCGAATGGCATTCCTCTATGCTCACTAATGCATTGGGGGTACTGGTGAGTTTTAGGGTCTTATGGTCCCATGTCGTCCGGGGGGGGAGGAAAGAGTTGTTTAGGGGTTAATACAAATTTTCTTTTCAAAGTAAGATATGCTTCCGTCGACGACTTCAATAGGGCGTCGCAACATAGCATACAACTGCGTAGGGTATTTATGTACGGCAACACAAGATTCAGAATTTATATGGCAACACAAGATTCAGAATTTATATGGCAACACAAGATTCAGGATTTACTCACTTAATATAACTATAAACCTAACCTGTAATGAACCTGTAAGTATAAAACCTGTAAACATTGAACCTGTAATGAACCTGTAAATACTGAACCTGTAATGAACCTGTAAATACTGAACCTGTAAATATTGAACCTGTAATGAACCTGTAAATATTGCACCTGTAGTGATCCTGTAAATATTGAACCTGTAAGTATGTGACAATTAAGAGGTCACTAATTACCTAATAAAAAGTTAACGACACACCAGTAAAAATAAACGAATGGAAAAGAACAGCTAACAAAATGAAGAGAACATCCACTCAAAATTGCCCAACAGATGACTGGAGATCTGACGAGCCAGTTCTCACCATAGTCACTGCCTTATTTTTTTATATATATATATATTCCTCAACAGATCTAAATTATAATATAAATAACAAAAGATATAATGATGATAATGTACAATAAGAATGGATCATTGTAGAGTGTATTTTATTCTCTAAGATAACCATTTGGAGACTAAGTTTGAGTTATCTTTTGGAAATATAATGATATGTATGCATAAATAGGGTGAACCATAGGAGTTATCTTGGAATATAATGATGACAATGCATAAGTAGAGTGACCTATGTCTTATCTTGGAATATAATGAGCATAAGGGGTGAGGGTGTGCATTCAGACATGTAAATGCATAAGTAGGGTGGTCCGTTATGTAACCCAAGTACGCTAACCAAGTATATAGAAGCAGGTGTATAGGACTAAACAGGTAAGGTGGTCTACTGTCACAAGAAAACCAATTACTGTATGAGTTGGATCTACAAGGAAAACTCAGATTCCTCACATAAATGGGATAGAATATTTTTTTATATACGTACATTACACAGGAACTAAGAATTATTATGAGTAAAACACATTTCTATATTGTTTATGTGAAAATGTTTCTTGTGTAGGTATTCGTCGAGATATGAATGAGTTTGGTAAAAAAAAATTCGAGTTTGGTTTAAAAAAAATTCGGGTAAAGGTTAAAAAAAAAAAAAACATTAGGCGGATTTTCATATCACGAACAGATGATCATAATGGGGAAATAAAGTTCAGTTCCCCATTACAAAAATACCCCAATTTACCACCAAAACACGAAATTGGTTCACAAACAAGAACAAAAACTAATTAACTAATGATCAATAGAAACTATCTACTGTAATTTATTGTCTAACATATGAAAAAGTAATAATAAAATACTGTTTAACTTTGATGCATTAACTTATGGGAGAACAGTCTGAGCTGGGAGGACAGTCTGAGCTGGGAGGACAGTCTGAGGTGGGAGGACAGTCTGAGGTGGGAGGACAGTCTGAGGTGGGAGGACAGTCTGAGCTGGGAGGACAGTCTGGGCTCACCACCACAAGGGGAGTGAGCTGAGGTGAGCTGACCAGGGGTGAGCTGAGTAAGGGGGAGCTGAGTAAGGGGGAGCTGAGTAAGGTGGGTGGGTGGGTGGGTGGGGGAGTGATCAGTGAGCCAGAATACGTCTCTGTGCATCACTCCCCAACATGGCCACATCAGATGACTCCCAGCGCGTGAAATTTGTATATTTCTGAACC